GTTTAACCTTTGGATAAATGGATCCCCACAATTAGACTTAGAAAAAGGGCCTTACCGAATATAATCCCATCTCGAAAAATCAATTCACCAGCTGTTAATGAGTTGTACCTTTGGACCTCTTCTTGGCCTCGCTGTAAAGCACAACACCCATTACCGTGATTGCGAACCCCATCATCCCCATCACAGTCACCGGATTTCTAAATATCAAAACCGACACAACTGCAGCCACAGCCGCTTTCGCATTCCCCAGCACCTGCAGAGTCAAGGCGCTCGTGTGCTTTGTCACCAAGAAATTAGTCAAATTGACCAAATACGCCACAGTGGCATTCCCGGCCAATAGGAACACGATGAACCCGTCCTTTCTCCCCTTCTCAACAGTCAATGCCAATACATTACCCTCAATGTACAGAGTGAACGGCAGCAAGATTACGGCTGCCATTGGCGCCATGTACAGCAAAAGGTTCATGGAGTGCAGCTTCTCGGCCTCGGAGGTCAAAAGCAGCCCTTGGACCACGGATTTCAGGGCCCGCCCAGCCGTGGACCCGATGCACACAAGGAACCCGAACAAGTGGAACAGGGGCTCGCTGTTGCTGGCCACGACTATGCCAAGCACGACAGGAAGGAGAGCAAGGTAGACCTCGGCCGACTCTTTCTTGCAGGTGATGACGAAGGCGAAGATGGCGGTGAAGAAGGGGGTGGTGGCCCCGATTGCTTGGTTGAAGGAGACGGGGAGGTAGCGGAGGGAGGTGTTGCCGCAGACGACGGAGAAGCAGAAGATGGCGCTGAGGGCGAGGATCTTGAGGAGCTGGCGGCGGCTGTGGATGGGCTGGAAGGGGACGACCTCGAGCCACCGGACGGCGAGGAGGCTGTAAGCGGCGCAGGAGAGCATGTGGAGCATGGTGAGGAAGATGGGGTAGCGGTAGCCGTAGAAGCTGAGGAGGTACTTGTTGAGGAGGAGGACGCCGATGTTGGAGAGGTACCAGGAGGCGATGATGGCGGCGGTGAGGACGGTGGGGGAGATGAGGGAGGAGTAGGCGTGCTGCCGGATTTCCGCCGTCGGGGTCACCGGAATGTCCAGGACCTGGTCGTTGCTCGGCTCGAACCGGGGGTTGCTGCCCCTTCTCGTCGTCCACGACTGCGCCTCCACCATGGCACTGCAAGACAAAACGCAGGAAAAAAGGTTCGATCTCTGGAGTGTAATTGCTGATTGGCAAGGTTATTGAGTAGGTTTTGGCAATGGGTGTGGAGATTTGAGAGGGATAAGGCAGAGAGAGTGTGTGCGTGTGCGTTTTCGCTCTGAGCTGCGGGGCACTGTGATTTTTTTAGCAGCGGGGAAGAGATCTGAGGGGGGATAAGATGGGGTGCGTCGCAGGGGATACGGGCCGGGTGGGTTGGATTGGCGTTTCAGCAGATCTGAATGGAGGGTAGTGATTGGGGGATGTGGGGACTGTGTAAAATAGCTGCCGTTGGATGGGAAATTGATGGATCTGTAGATTTAAATAGTGCGTCATTGATTAATCGTAAGTGGAGCCCATTGAGTGTCGGTACGTAAATCCTGGTAGAGTATTAAGATTTTATTTTATCTTTTTGGATATACACAATATAATATTGTTAAGCATAAGTTCAAATTTTATTGGAATAAAGAAAAAATATTGATACTTTTTGTAAAAGAGAATAATTTTGTTTCAAAGGTTAAATTATATATTAAATTACACCAGAAGGTTACTTCTACGCTTCATTGCCTACAACGACAAATTTAAGCATACAAATATACAATCAACAAATCGACATCGAGGCTTATTTATTTCATATGGAGATGAAATAATGAGATGTCAAAATTGAAAAAATAAATGAAAAGTATATCTCATCTCACTTTATAAAAAGTTGGAGCTACTAAAAGCATAATTTGTAATATTTGGGTTCGGAGAGCATACTTGTTTATGAAATAATTCATTTCATACTTAAAATTTAACTCAACTTTAACTCAACTCCACTATCATTTATATTATTTATATAATTAAATATTATAAATCAATCATTCTTACATATTACATCAACTTTAATTCACTATTCATTCACTTACATAATTTTAACTAACTCTCATTTCCAATCATTTATATCCTACTTTTACATCAAATCATTAATAATTATTTTATTTTAAATATTATTTTAATATATTATTAAAATCTCACTAACAATTAACCATACTACATTTTTTAAAATTAACTTTAGTTAACTAAAATAACTCATTTTGAATGAAATATTTCATAAACAAGCATGCCCTAAATTTTCATCTCATTTTAATCGAGATCAATGTCAACATTTTTTAAACATATTATTCCCCTCTCTATGTTAAATGACGAGATGTAGACTTAGCCATTAGTCCGATTTACTGAGCACATGCTTCAATTTGTAAAAATTAAAAAATGTTCATATCTTTTACGACAAAATTGGAAGATTGAGTTGAAAAACAAGACATGTGCGATTTATTCCATCTCATGGTTATATGGAATCAGGAGCAAATCGGATGGAACAAGTACATAAGCAAGCGTTTGGACTAAGAGAGCTTGGAAAGACAAGTTTACGCTTCAAAATGCTAGGAGCTCGCCAAAATTCGCGATGATTCATGGAGGACTCATGCAGGCTTTGGCCGGATCTCATGGGCATTGAGCTCATCCGACTACAGACTTTAAGGACAACGGGAGCATAAATTACGATCAACGGTCAACACCGACGGTCAACGGTCAACGCAGGATGTCAACGGCCAAATCAATAGTTAACCAATTAAAAAAATAAAAAAATTAAATATTGACCAGACACTTTGTTCCCTATTTAATAACTAGGGTTGAGTCTCACATTCTCATTTTAAGACTAAGATACATTGTTCCAATCCATATATATTATATACATTTATGTATTTTGAAAGGGAAACGGAAATAAACAAGAAAAGTATAGCATAAGCATAAATTCCACAACTTAAAAAATAACATACTATTGAAGGTTAAATGATTCTAAATATTTATTTTTTATTTTTTTATATTGAAATAACTTTTCATAATAATTAATAACATGTATTTTTTTATATCTATATAATAATACATATATACATATAACATATATATAATATACTACTAAAAAATTTTACGGGGGCCCATGCCCCTATGGACCCCTGTATAGATCCGCCAATGGTGACCATCACGAAGCGACGCCCTATATGACTCATGAATATCGTGTATCGCGTATTCAATTTGTGATAACCCACGTTAACGGTTGTCGGTTGTGCACGATGATTTGGTGCTAGAAAACAAGCGATTTTGAGATTTCTTATTGCTTGAATCTTCCAAACGATGAGTGCGGGAGTTTTAAAGAATACAAATACCGGATATTGCAACCAAGTCCCAAGAAACAATAAATTAAAAAAACAAAGCTAATATTTATTATTATTGTTGCTCGATCCATGTCTCTAAGCCATGCCTACGCCCTGTCTATAATCGTTGTTGTTCGGAACCTCGTTTGCATGCCCGTCGATCATTCGCATGCCCGCAAGCCTGATGCACGTCTTTTTATGGCTATTGCCCGTCCCCGCTGCCGCTGCTCGGTTGTTGTACGCACCTATTGTTGCTGCTCGAGCACCCAGTTGTGCGCCGCGGTTGATCTCCTCCCTCGCGTCCCTGTGGATATGGTTGTCCCGCCTCTTTGATACAATCACGTCGAGCTCGGTTATACGTATTCTTGAGAAGTCGGTCCTCGTTCGTATTATTCCCGTCCCCTTCAAATATATCTTTGCCCTCAAGGGTAAAGTCAGGAAATTGGTTGAGGATATCTTGCAAATTCTCCCAAGTCACCTCCTCATTCGACAATTCTTCAACTCGATTAAAACTTCCCAACAAAAGCGTCCAACCCTCTTTATTCTTTGATAATCCAATGTCTGGCTAGGCCGCACAATGAGTTGTACCTCTCGACTTACCGCCGACAACCGAGTTTGGACCTCATGATCATCACCTAAGCTCATTTTTAATTGCGAGACATGGATAACTGAATGAATTTGAAAATCCACATACAATTCGAGCTTGTACGCCACCTCGCCTACTCTCTCCATGACCTGATATGGTCCATAAAAACGACTTCCTAGCTTATATAATGGCTTCTGCGAAATGGTCTGTGCGGCCGTAGCTTCAAATAAACCCAATCGTCTGGCTCAAATTTCTTCTCTCAACGCCCTTGGTCATAGTACTCCATGCGGTTAATGGATCCGAATAAATTATTCTTGAGTTATTTGATCAATAGATCTCGTTTCATTAACTCCCGATCAACCTCGACATTCAGAGATTTGCCCACGGGATAACTGATAAGCATAAGGGTTGCTCGTCCATACACCAACTCAAAAGGAGTCAACTTGGTAGATGCATTAAAAGTAGTGTTGTACCAAAATTCGCCTCTAAGGTAAAAATCCGTCCCACTTTGTTGGAAATTGGTGAACAAAACACTTAACGTATTGTTCGAGCGTACAATTAGTTATCTCGGTTTGGTCTTCCGTCTAAGGATAACACGTCGAGCTCATTGCCAACTTGGTCCCATACATCTTGAGACATTCTTTCTAGAAGTTGCTCACAAGAAATTCGATCCCAATAAGACACAATAGACCATGGTACTCCTCCACAAACAACTTGGCTATGAATTTCGCCGTATAAGGGTGGGTAGCTAAATAAAATGTGCTTTTTAATTGCTTGATTCGACTGCTATTTGTTGTATCTAATTTAATCAGAAATGCTCACATGCCTACGGTGAGCACATATTAATATGCCCATCGCTTATGTAGCATGCACACATTGGTGATGTTAATATGTTAAAAAAATACATCACCAATATGTGCATGCCACATAAGCGATGGACATATTAACATGTGTTTATCGTGGGCATGTCAGCATTTCCCCTGATTTATATGTGTGTTCTTACTTATAAATTGTCATGGTTTAAATAAATAATAAAAAGAAAAAGAGCGCCAAAGGTTCGAGAAATTATTGTGAACGCTAAACATAGAATAGAAGTGGGAAAAGGATTGACTTATCACTCAAACCCACAACGTTATCAGAAAAAGCACATCGTTCGATAAAAAACCGGCCTGATATAGAAACAGGATGGACCGGGTCACCTTTTGTTCTCATCGTCAGTTGGGGATCTTTTCCTGTGCACCGCCCTCCGCCGTGACTCTCAGCCGCCTCCTGATATCGGAGTTGCCTCCGGCAGTAACTGAGGCAAGTCCCATTCTACAAGATACAATACTTTTGCTAATTTCAACATCTTTTGAACTGTCGCAGAGAAATTTCTTCATCTATTGAGCTAAATTATCTATTTAGTACTAAAACTCCATTTTCGGTCAATCAGATACATCAATTTATAGGTGTGCATAACTGTTGGCGGACATTTTATCTTTTCTTAAGCTCATATAGATACATATGTATGTATATTAGGTTCCTCGCATTAAGATACTTTCATTACTTCCTAATGGACAGAGATGGAAAACATTGTTTGCTATTCCTAATCAGACGTGTTTTTACATACCTGAGTTTCCCTGTTTAACTGGATTTGATGTAAAGTTTTGGGCTTGATGTTGTGCTCTTGCTTGTCCTTGGTGGAGTTTTAATCAGATTTTTTAGGGAAATTGCCCGTGAGCTTTCTTGCAGGAAATTTAACTGGAGAATCATTTCAAAGCTGCGTTTAATGGTTATTTCATGAATAAATACAGGCGAATTAGAGAAAATGGCAAAGCCGCCTCAAGTTTTCTTCCTCGAGGAGTGGTTGAGGAGCATTATCAATAAGAACGGCTCAGCACATCCGTCTTCTCATTCATCTGCTCAAGCCATAATCCAAGCTTGGGCTGACCTTAGAGACTCAAGTCAACATCGGACCTTTGATACCCGTCACCTCCAAGCTTTGAAGACTCTTGTCGGCTCTCAATCCGTTCTTTACGTTGCAGACCCACAAGCAAAGCTTATAACTTCTATTTTGTCTTTATCTTCACATGGTCTCTCTCTCCCAGAGGAATCTTTTCCCTTACTCATAAGGCTTCTTTATGTCTGGGTAAGGAAATCGAGGCAAACTTCTTCAGTTGTTAATTCTGCTGTCAATGTCCTGGTAGACCTTCTATCTCGACAATCTCATTTTGAAAAAAATGCCCTTTTCATATCTGAGGGGATTTTACTTCTGGGCGCCCTTGCTTTCCAATCTTCTGCATCCGAGAAATCCAAAAGTATTTGCTTGGACTTGCTCTGTAAGTTTCTGGAAGAGGATATCAGATTTGTTTTCTCATCTGATGAGATGGCTTCCGTTGCACTTGCGGGCGCTGGTTATGCTCTCTCTTCTCCACTGAAAATATGTTTCAGAAGAATTCTAGAGATTTTGCTCTGCTTTTGGGGCAGAGGTGGTCAGATCGGCGTTTCTCAAGGGCTGATGCTATTGCATCTGATGGAGTGGGTTGTATCTAATATCTTGAGGTCACGTTTTGTGGATAAAATCGAAATTTTGAGAGACGTTTTGGAAAATGCTGAGCCTGCATATTCTTCGTATGCTGTGATCATGGCTGCAGCTGGTGTGCTGAAGGCTGTAAATAGATCTGGAACAAGTGGTTTCATGTATCTTTCGAATTGTGCAGAGGAACGAATTGAAATTGTGGCACGGAGTTTTGTCCCCCGAAGTAGAGGTTTTGATTATGATGAAAATAAACCTGGGGCTAACCTTCTTTTGCATTTTATGGCAATAGCTTTATCCCAGAGTGGTTCAGTTTCTCATAAACCCTCGTTTCTTATCTCACTTGCGTTGGCACTGTTGACTGAAGTGTTCCCTTTGCAGCATTTCTATAACAAAATTCTTAGATTTCCTGACGAAAATCGAGCTGCGGTACTTGATGAGATCAATGGGCATCTGAGTAGCTTCATCTTCAAGGAAGCAGGATCGATAACGGGTGTGTTTTGTAATCAATATGCATCAGCCGATGATGACAGCAGAAGCACGGTGGAGAATCTCATATGGGATTACTGTCAGGAAGTTTATTCATGGCATAGGCAGACAAGGGTGCTGCTTGTTGGAAGGGCAGATAATCTAATCCGAGAGATAGAGAAAATTGCTGAATCTGCATTCCTTATGGTTGTAGTTTTTGCATTGGGAGTAACAAAACATAGATTTGGCCCAAATATAGACCGAGAAAGTCAACTTGAAATCTCATTAAGAGTATTGATCTCGTTCTCTTGTATGGAATATTTTCGTCGGATGCGTTTGCCCGAGTATATGGACGCAATTAGAGCAGTTGTCGTAAGCGTTCAGGAGAATGAATCAGCTTGTGCCAAATACATAGAGTCTATGCCTTCCTATGATGATGTGATCAATAATCACGGTACTAACTTTTATTGGTCCTTTCTAATTTATTATTATTAGCTGGCCTTAATTTACTACATGCATTGCAGGTTCTTCCAACTTCCCAAAATCAGACTATCTGTGGTCCAGTGATGAGGTTCAGACTGCCCGTATCATATTTTATATGCGTGTTATTCCTACTTGTGTTGATCGTTTACCAGCATCAACATTTAAGAAAGTGGTAGCTCCCACTATGTTCCTGTATCCTGTATCAAAATTACCACAATATCAAATATTTGAAGACTTAACAATAGTTCTAATTAAACGTTGTTGATTCCTTATAAATGCATCAATTTAGATATATGGGGCATCCCAATGGGAAAGTTGCCAGATACACGCATTCAGCCTTTGTGGCTTTCATGGCTTCTGGGAAAGATCCTACTCATGATGAAAGAGCTTTACTGAAAGAGCAACTCGTCTTTTATTACATACAGAGATCGTTGGAGGTAATAATTCTCATTAAGTATATGCTTGAATTACAATACTCCAGTTAATGACCTACAGTTAGTATTTGCCACTTAAATTATAAAACTCAGGGATTTCCTGGTATTACACCATTTGAGGGAATGGCATCTGGAGTTGCTGCACTCGTTAGACATCTTCCGGCTGGTAGTCCGGCAATATTCTGTTGCATTCATAGTCTTGTCGAGAAGGCCACTAGCCTCTGTAGCACAATCAGCAGGCATGATAGCCATGTCTGGAAAAACTGGGAAGGAGAGTTGGAGCCTCCTAAAAAGTTGCTAGATCTGCTTTTACGGCTACTCTCATTAGTTGATATACAGGTAAACACGTAACACGTTTGATTTGGAAGCTGAATGGCGTTGAACGATGAATCTTGTCAACAGTTAGTTTTTCCAGAAAAAAGAAATTATAATGTTACTTTTTTTTTTTGTGTTAGTTTGTATTCTCATGATTTGTTTTTCTCCTCAATATCGTATTTACGCATTTGGTGCATGGGTATGACTATTGTTGGATATTAACTATTTCCGGTTTTGTCTTGCATGATAATTTTTTTTCATCGGAACTACGATTGGATTATTATTATTTTTTTTTTCACAAAAAATTCGTTATTCACCTAATCCTACCTCTTTTCTCCCCAATCTTAACCAAAAAATTAAATAATGAAAATCAGAATTTTCAATAAAAATTCATTGTTCATCGGCTCACATATTTTTAACTTCTAACCTTTACATTCGTTACTTTGTTATTTTTCTACCACATCAACTTTAATAGTTACATTTTATCTCATATCCATTCGCAATCACAAAAATATTTCGTTCTTCCACCAGTTTTTTTTTCTCACCTTTTCCATTCAAAAAAATTCTTTTTCAAAGTAATAGATATCTGATAAAGAGTTATCCACTTTTATACGTCTGTTTGGTTTCTAAATTCAGAAAAATCTTGATGCTGCTTGTTGTAGGTTCTTCCAACTTTGATGAAGTTATTGGCCCAGCTGATCGTGCAGCTACCTCTGAATGGCCAGAATTCGCTCCTTAATCAACTGTATCAACAAATTGCTGATTCCGATGATGTCATACGAAAACCTGCTCTGGTTTCCTGGGTGCAGTCTTTATCGTATCTTTGTTCTCAGGGTGCAAACAAGAAAAATTCTTCATTAAGCTCGATAAGCATGAACAGGATTAGTTCCCGGCTCTAGATGTAGAAGTGGAGACTGCCAGGCGCCTGTTCTTTGGGCTCGATCAACTGTATGTGGGCTATGACAAGAACTCGACTCTCCTAGCATGAAGGTGGATAAATATAATTTCTGCCCAGTCTTAGTTTCCCACGGATATCAATGTTCTGTTGTGTCATGCTGTCTGGGTGTCCAGAAGTCTATTGGAGCTGACATAAGAAGTAGAGTTTCAGATAGCATAGAACACTGGTTATATTTTATTCAGCTTCAGCCATTTTTTAGAATGCAAATTGTTGTATACTTGCAGTTATGTCAAGTAATAGAAACTGTGAGAAATTAAACCAAGTGTTACATAAAAACTCAGCATGACCCGAAAAGAAAAATCAGGGCCTCCAAGCCCGTGTGACTCCTCTGCTTCTTATGTCGCCCAACGAAGGCCCGATTGTTGGCTGTGTCCACTTACATGGTGATCACGGCGTTGATTAGCCCGTTGGGCCTGGAGGAAGTCTTGGCCTTCTCTTGTTAAGTATTGGGCTAGTGAGAAGGAAATGGAGGCATATTATGAGGATTGAGCATAGTAGGAAAGCCTTGATGGTGATATAGCCATTGGGACTGGGTTCTTGTGTTCAAGTGGCCTCAATGACTCCATCCAGACTTTCTTTTATTCTCTGTTGGTTGTTTGGCAGTCTTGTGTGGTAGTTTGTTTTGCTTAGTTTGGTTTGTTGGTTTGGTGTACTCCGAAGGGCTCAAATCTTTGTATTTGCCTTAGGTTTACAAGTAACTAGTGTAGTGCGTGCTCTTTTAGTTTGCTTGTAAGGCTAGTTTGCCTCCGATTGTAAAATCTTTAATTTGTTTTTATGAGTATGTCTATCAGGTTTGGGCATGTCACATTTAGAATTAATTCAAACTAAACAGACGGATTAAAAGAAAAACAGCAACTATATAACAATCACAAAATATCATAATTACCGTGAAACAATCATTTTTGGCATCACATTCAACATCATAAAATAAAATTTATTCCTTTCTTTCCCTTTGTGAAATCCCAACCAATAACATACAATTTCTACAAAACTTACACACCAGTTGTTTACATTTAAGTGGCCGACATATTAACCAAAGCACGCTAAAACTAGAAGTACAAAACTAAATCCGGCATCTATTGATTCTTTTTTAACTTCAGATTGGACGAAGAGAAACTGGAAGAAGATGAGCGTTGAACTTGATAAGAAGCTCTAAGTATAAATAGAAATGTCTCGACCAGCATTGCCCCAACCAATCCAAGAATGCCACCAGCAGCATTCTAAATATCAAACAAGGCCAGAATCAATTTACCAATAAATTACAGTGCAAATTGCAGGGAAGATAGTTCCTTTTATCTAGAGCAATTACTATTTTGTGAACAGAAAAAAAGTTATAATTCCTATGCAAAAGTTACCATAGCAGGACTGCTGCCAAACAATGCCCTGAATGCTGCGTATCCAAGTAAGTATCCTGTGAACATTGTTACCACCATATGCAATCCTGTAAAAAGTGAAGAATTTTTTGCTATCTCAATCCATTATGTGTGACAGATTATACAACATGAGCACACCTTAGGCATTTTGAAAGCTTCAATGCTATTCAAACTTGAGATTCACACTTTTGACAGGAAAGATGGGGGTAGTTTCTTGGTTTTGAGTAGCTAACGACTAAGGAAATTGAGAACTACTGTGTGCAAAAGCAAATGTTGAACCAATTATTGCAATAACATAACGAGAAAAATGGACTGAAGAAAGATTTGAGTATCGTGTAATGAGAAATAATTATGTCTAAGAGGAACGAAATGAATAAACCAATTAAGTGGAGGAAAAAAAAGTAGAATAAAGAAGACTCAGAAGCAACAAATAAATTAGAGGCACAACGGTTATTAAATTGTCTCTGACTTGCTTTGGGTACTCGTAAAATTAGAAAAATATGTGGAGAAATAAATGTTGTACAGAATAACTTTTGTGGAAACATAAATTCATTTTTGACAGGCAACTGAACCAAACTGATTAACAGAGATAATTGGATATAAAAGCTCAAGTTGCTTATGGAAGCACTTTTGTTAGAGGTTCTCAGGCTAAGGTGACTAGTGCCACAATTCTCTTGGGTATATATGTAAACTGAAATAGAGACCGATAAACGGGACACTACCATAGACATACTTGCAGCATTCTGATGTTTTGGTCTCATTGGCAGTCACACAATTTTGAGATGAAAATTGTGGGACTGTTTATCAAGAGGAAAATAATTGTGAGACTATCAGACTACCGATATACTTTCTGTTTATACATCTGAGGCAATACAGATAAATTAATGAGGTATCTATGTCATTCATTTCAACTGAGTTTCTGCAAAGATCTCCTTCTGAAGGTTATATAACGAACTCAAGGGTGCATATTTACCATAAACCCCACACATATTTAATTCACCTCGTCGGCCCTTTACACGAAATGCTCATACCTTTATCGTGTTAAGATGCCAATTTTAATTTTCTCAACAAGTTACCCCAAATAAACATTCAGACAGTTTACACACAACAACCCTAGACAATTAAACAGCAAATAACACAACGATCATTCCACAATAAATCCCTAGAGGAAGCCATTACTCCACAAAACACAATTTATCACAAAGAAACACACGAACCATGTCATAATCCTTGCGTTTTCCATATTAACCCTTAACGCATACAAAATCTGCAAATTGATACCTTTTTTGAAAAGAATAGAAATTCTTACTCCAAGAAATGACAAACATATTTCTTTTACAACTACCAATTGCCATGTAACCAAAATAACACCACTGTTTATCACAAGAACTAAACCGCACATAATCTCAATCTGTTCTCTTCGATACAAAATACATATCAACAAATCAATTATAAGATGCATCTGAACCCAAAATGAAAACCGAAACAAAGATAATGCAATAGCAACACTGAACGAAAAAGGGAAAATTTACCAAAGCCCAACTGATCCTTGTAAGAAGAAAATGGCTCTTCCAGAGTCTTTCTAGGAGTAATGTCTTTCACCAATTTTTCATACGCCTTCTTCTCAGCTGCCTCCTGTAGCTTTCTCAATCTCACCTTCAACTCCTCACTCTAGCAAACAAACCAAATTAAAACGGAACAACAATCAATTGCATGAATCGGAAGCACAAAAAATAAACAGAGCTGCAAATTTACCTTTTCCCGGGGATTAGGGCTGGTAAATATGAAATTGGACCCGGAGAAGAGACAGGACAAATCGGGTCGGCTTTCGCGTTCGGATCCGAACCATATCGTTCTCAGGGACTTATAGGATACGGTTGAGTGCGCCGAAAGGGAGGAGGAAAGGTCTCTGAGATCATTGGGAAGATGGGAATCTATGGAGGCGGCGGTGAGGAATGAGAGGATGACGTCAGTCACGGATAGGATCAGGTCTCTGTTGTAAATATTTTTACCGGAGTAGAATCAAAAATTCGAACACCAGGTCGTATCGCAAGGAAGGTTAGCCAGATTAAATTGCGCCAATATTCAATCACAAGAGAGAAAATAATCCTAACACTCTAATCAGATTGATTTGGTTTGATTATCAACTACGAAAAACTTCAATTAAAGCAAATATAAATAACAAGCAATCGACGAAGAACAAGTAGGATTTAAAGAGTTAGGGAGTCGGGGATATCCGTTTTGGTTCGAAAATATAATTGTCAAGCAAGAAATTGTTCGGTTAAGTGATTTGACTAATCGACACGTTCAAGCACTCATTCTCAATAACTTTTCGTAACAAGAGAACAAACTAGAATGACAAATTAACAATTCATTTAACTCCTAGGCAATACAGTTACGAACAAGCCTAGTTCATACGAGCCTATTTCGACCGACTCCTCCCCTTTTGGTTCTAAGAGTCGATTAAAGTAGACTAGAGGGTGGTTAATCGACTAGTCCGTTAAGAGTTAAAAACATCAAGCACGAATTTATCGAATTCAATCCAAACAATTGCAAGTTGAAGTGTCACTCTTCAATTCTCAAAATTCAAGCTAAAAATTGAAAAACCCTAATAAAAGATTAACTCGTATGAATTTGAACAACCTGAGCCCGACAATCACAAACGATATCAAAACATCAATCCCCTATCCCTAGCATATGAATTTAGCCGATCATAATTGAATCATCAACACAAACAATCATATCAATCAAAGAATCCATAATCAATAATCAAGTGAAGAGAAACCCTTACAATTGATAAGACTCCAAGGTTGAATTTGATAAACAAGCTTAAATCCAAAACAAGGAAGAAATCCAAGTGCAAATCCAAGTTCGACGTTGAAAAAATTATGAAGGAAAGATGAAAAACGAGTAAAAAGACGAAAGTAAGGTTTTTTCTCTGTTCTGAAATGAGATAGAGAGCTAAAACCTAGAAAAAAACATAACATAATGAAAAAACGAATCTGAAATCTGAGTTTAAAATTCTGGACGTCGCGGCCTCCGCGGCCGCGGAGAATCCCATGGGCCGCGGTGAAGAAATCTCGCGGCCGCGACCATCCCCGAGGCCGCGGCATGATCTGGACAGAAGTGAGACTTTTGGGACCCTCGCGGCCGCGGCGACTAAAACTGGGCGCCGGTTGGTTTTGTTCACCGCGGCCGCGAGGAGACAGTCGCGGCCGCGGTGAAGGATTTTTTGCATAGCAAATTGTTCTCGGGTTCGTGTTCTCGCATCCGGACTCAAAATTTAATCCCGTCTTTCCCAATTCGACCTCAACTCATCCATCTAGATAGTAATCCTCGCATGGCTATGCACCGCGCTACCTATCCTGCACATCACATCGACAAGAAAAAAAATACGGAAAATCAGGAAAAACGAACAAAAAGACCAAAAACAAATAAAACAGGGGAAAAGCACGAAACAACTCAAAATGGACCAAGAACCAAAGAAAAATACCTAAGGAGGGAAAAAATAAACATAAAATAAACAAGAAAAACGTGACGAAAATAGAACGAACAGTCTCCACCGCCGGCGGTGGCCGATGGCGGGAGGCTGGTTGAAAGTTTGATGGAATCTACTGTCTCCGTGGCCATTTGGGTTGATACTGAAAGACTCGGGTCGGCGAGTTTGGTTGAATTTAACTGTAAACTTATTTCCTAATTAATTTTTCCTAGTTGATACTGAAAGAAGGGTTGCTGCCCCTTCTCGTCGTCCACGACTGTGCCTCCACCATTGCACCGCAAAAAGACGCAGAAAAAAGGTTCGATCTTTGGAGTGCAATTGCTGATTGGCGAGGTTATTGAGTAGGTTTTGGCAATGGGTGTGGAGATTTGAGAGGGATAAGGTAGAGAGAGTGTGTGCGTGTGCGTTTTCTCTGAGCTGCGGAGCACTGTGATTTATTTAGCAGCAGGGATAAGATGGGGTGCGTCGCAGGGGACACGGGTTCCGGATCCGGGTCCCGGGTCGACCTGCCGGTCCGGTCCGGGTCAAAAAACTATGATCTGAAGTGAAAGGCTTTGATCGATTTTAAGTTATGAAGTTCTGAAAAACTGGAATAGGTTTGGCGAATATATCTGAAAAACTGAAAAATTTGAACCCAAGTCCATCCCAGTCCTAAATTTATTTAACTAATATATTAAAAAATTAATTAAGATTTAATAAGTTATAGGATTTAATTATATATATATATATTGTTATCGGTTCGGTTCGGTAAAACCGAACCGGTAACATTTCGGTAACCGCAAATTGGTTACTGTAGTCCCTTACACATGAGACTATTCAGTTCGGTTTATTTTTTCATCGGTTCAATTCAGTTCGGTTCGATTTCCGATTTTCAGTGAAAAAATATCAGTTCTACCGATTATTTGATTTATCATAAGTGGGGCCATTGAGTGTCGGTGTGTAAATCCAGTGGTACAGTGTTAAGATTTTATATACACAATATGATATTGTTAGGTATAAGTTCACATTTTATTGGAATTAAAAAAAAATTATTGGTACTTTTTGTAAAAGAGAATAATTTTGTTTCAAACAAGGTTAAATTACATATTAAATTACACCACAAGCTTACTTCTACGCTTCATTACCTACACTGACAAATGAAGCATACAAAATATACAATCAACAAATCGACCATGCGAGACTTATTTATTTGATATGGCGATGGAAATAATGAGAATAATTTTGTAAAAGAGAATAATTTTGTTTCAGCCATTTTTTAGAATGCAAATTGTTGTATACTTGCTGGTAGCTGCAGTTATGTCAAAGTATAGAAATTGTGAGAAATTAAACCAAGTGTTGAATAAAAATTCAGCATGACCCCAAAAGCAAAATCAGGGCCTCCCGGGCCCGCAGGACTCCTCTGCTTCTTATGTTGCCCAATGAAGGCGCGGTTGTTGTGGAAAATTTCTTCGGCCGTGTCCACTGACGCGGTGATGATCACCGTTGATTAGCCCGTTGGGCCTGGAGGAAGTGTCGACCTTCTCTTGTTACATGTTGTGCTAGTGAAATGGAAATGGAGGCATATTATGATTTATGAGGATTGAGTAGAGTAGGAAAGTGTTGATGGTGATATATGCGTCGGCGGGACGGGCCGGCCCGCCATCGTGGTGGGCCTTTAAAAAGCCGGCCCAATCCGTCCCCGCTATGGGCCGCGGGTTCGATGGGCCAAGCCCGCCTATTTACATTTTTTGTTATATAACCTGGGTTGGATAATTGGATTGGGCCTACTGGGTCTCATTGCAACGACCCAGTTGATTGTTAAAAAAAAAAAAATTGCTATGAGGACTGATGGATTTAAGCCTGCTAACTGAACTTAAAAAAAAAAAGGGAAAGTTTTATGTTTACCACAATATTTTAAAATATTTGCATTTGTACCAAGGTGTAGATTTTATTTGCGTTCCTACCAAATGCATTACATTTATTAGTGATTAATCAAAATTCAGTTACCAAATAAAACATAAGATCGTGTTCCTTAAATTGCGCATGAATGGGGGAGATAGGATTTGCACTAAAAAAAACAAAAGATATGGTAAGTTTATATATCCTATTAATTAGGAGATTGTTTCAATACAAAATATAAAGGAATTTGAATCTCAAACAACATCATCTTCTAAATACATATAAAATACACAATCAGGATTATATACAGAAGATATACTCATTATATACCGTCGACATACAGAAAATACACAACAGATATACAAAAGATATACAGAATATAAATCGATTTTGTCATTATATACAGAATATATACAAAAGATATACAGAACATATACAGAAATCACATTAGACCACAAAATTCAAATTTCAGCTCGATTTATATACAGAATATATATGCAAGATATACACAGCGTTTGTCCTTTTCTCAGCAGACTCATCTAATCCTTCAATTTAGGGTTTTCTCATTTGTTTTTCAACATGTCGATCCCCAAATCAAAAGATCTCACCTTTCTCCCATCTCCAGCCATCATCATTCCCAAATCGTCTCTGTCCATAACAACCAAAAACCCTAAAAAATTTAAACAAACACAAACCGATTGCTAGCAATGATCCGAGCAGGAACTGTAATAATTCGATCTGATTTAGAGAAGAAGAGGCCGAGGGAATGGATATGCTCTGACAGAGAAGAAAGAGAACAGAGACGAACGGCTCTTATACAAATACAGAGAGAAAGAACAGAGAGAGGGAGAGAGAAGAAGAAGAGATATGGAGGAGAGAAAGAAAGTCTACGATAAGTTCATTTCATCTTTAAATTAATCATATTTATAAAATATGGTAATTTTACAATTAATGTCATACATCTAGTAATTTTGCAAATAAAAAGGATATGCTATGTACAGGGTGTAATTTACTCAAAAAAAAAATTAAATAAACCTGTTGTTATGAACACTAGTACGTACTCCGTGCGATGCACGTGACAAAGATATTAAATGAGTTATTTTCACACCCTTGTCCATTTAAGTCTAAAAAATTATAGGGTTATTATCTATTTTCTACCTCTTTTAATCAACGTTAAGTCTAAAAAACAATAGTGTTATTATAAGTTTTTTTTTCTCATCTTTTAACCAACGTTGTTTTTTTTAGCAAGAACATTAAATATGAGCATGTTAAAGCTAGCTTGTAATTAATATATTATCTCACTAAAATATTTATACTAATAAAAATTTAATTTTAGCATATAAATTTATTCCTTGATATAAGAGAAAGTAACAATTTTACTTATTGTTGTTCAGTATATAATATTTAATTATTATTTTATTATATAATAAAAATGAATATTGTTAAATAGTGTAGTAAAATTGTTATAAAATTATACGAATTATTTTTTTTACAATATGGATTTAATATCTTTAAAAGATTTGATAATATAATTATAATATATTCTTAGTGATATAGTAATATGAAATACGGATTTACATAATACCATGAATTTATTCCTTAATGTTAAGATATTGAATTAGGTAATATATGATTCACTAATTTGTAATCTGTCTCTTTTTATATTAAAAATAATCATGTGATTGAGTAGAGATAACAATTATCTATAAATTCCTTCATTTAAGGAATAATTTTTAAATTGGTCCAAGTGTTGAATGCAGTCCGACTTTCTTGTAACTAAAATGAGAATAGATTTTGAATTTCAAATTTTCACTTCAAAACCACACGTAAATTTGGATACAGATTTTATTAAAAATAAAATGAGAAGAGATTTTGAATTTCATATTCACTTTAATATCTATCGAAATTTTCAAAAATGAATTCAACAAAACTCATAATTTTAAGGGCATTTAATGCTACCCTATTTTATGATTTAAAATATCTAAAACTTTTTAAATATGGTGTGCAATTAATTATTTTAAAAGATGAACTACTTTTGTTACCAGAAAATGTGGGCACAATTTTGAATGTACGTCCCGTCCAAATATCGGTTTTATTTTAAAATAAAAATTGAACGTGGTTTTAACCAATTTACACACTTTTTTCGAAAGAACAAATTATGCATTAAGATTGGAAGAATTGGTTATAAATTATACAACTATTTTTTTCGTAAATTTGTATCCAATTTGTACAGTTTTTAAATTGCTTTGTATTTAGAATTTTTTTCATAAATAATTGACATATTTTTTGCATAAGAATCTCTAAATTTGTTACAAAAAAGATATGATTTAAATTTTGGTAAAAAAATAAAATATGATACGCAAAAAATGGGATTCAAATATTGCCATAACAATCTCCAAATTTGTTACCAAAAAAATAGGATTCAGATTTTGTTTCTAAAGATTTACATGTGTTTTTTCGAACTTTCCATTAATAGTAAGTCAAACATTACATTTATTTGGTCAAACTTTCTATTAATGTATTTTTCCAACAACCTCTTTATATCTTTATATATATATATATATAGATTAAGAAAACCTGATGCAAATATTAAAAAAAAAAATGCCTAGGGTCATAAAGTCGGAGGCGGGAGGCGGATGTGTGGGCGGGTCGAGAATCAGAGGGGAGAGGCTGTTGAGAATTGAGATTTGAGATGAGAGGCGGGGAAAAGGCTACTGAGTGAGAATTGAGATTTGAGACGAGAGGCGACGAGAGAGGCGAGGGTTTACTGTGTGAATAGCTGTGTGTTTATTTATTTTTTATCTGATCAACGATTCAGATTTTAAATGAGGTTTACTTCATCTTGACCATCCAATATATATGTTTCTTTTTTTTAATTGGGCAGGCCGGCCCGCAGTTAGCCCGACCCGTCTCGCCGCAGTCCACAGCCCACGTAGGCCCACTCCTTGGCGGGCCTAGAAAATAAAGGCTCAACCTGCCCCTTTTGCGGGGCAGGGCCTAGAAAATACAGGCTGCTTTGACAGTTCTAGGTATAGCCGTAGCCCAGCTAGACCGGAGCTTGAGAAAAGACCCTTTATGGGGCAATTTATATTACGTATTGTGCTAATGAAATGGAAATCGTTGAAGGCTTGTATATTTGAAGTACCGTTATATACAAGTTGAAAGTCGTATCTTGAAGGCATTTGTCGTTAACCGTGAGTAATTTATGGGGCAATTTATGTTACGTATTGTGCTAATGAAATGAAAATTTTTGAAGACTTGTATATTTGAAGTACCGTTATATACAAGAAAGTCCTTGCATTTTGAAGGTGTTTGTCGTTAACCGTGAGTATTTTATGGGGCAATTTCTTTTTAAGGAGAATATAACTATTACGTGTCTCGACTTTGATTTTATTTTTGTGTTTTTCATTCTTTTTCAATCGTCTTCTTAATATTCACAACCACACAAACCATAATTATTTCATATCAACAGAAATTAAAAGCTTAACAGCAGTCATGGCAAATCGATCCCAGCCCTTAAAATCCTTTATCTAAGCAAATTAATTGTTCATATGGAACAGTCAAGGTCAACTTGACCTCATTGTCCAATCATCTGAATCCTTTCATAATTTCCAAACACCATTCCCTCCTAAGCCCTTGCCGGGTCATTTCCTTCTACTTTACAAAATATGAATATTGTTATGAAATAATAAAATAATGTATGTGAATGACTATTTTGCCCTCGATGTATTTGTATTATTACAAATTGTGCCATCAGGAGTTTCCTATAAATAGGAGCTTCAGTTATAATGAAAAACACACCTAAGAGAATACATTTTCTCTATTCTCTCTCTTTCTCTCTAGTTTTATAACACGTTATCAGCACGAGTCTCGACCCTTTAGAGCTCGATTTGTAATATGACGAGAGTATGCTCTACGGTTGCATCTTAGAGATGATCTTCCGTATCAGAAATTTAAATATTACAAATTGTTACTTTCTCCAATATTAAAGAGAAAACTACAACATAAGAGGCCATGAAAGCCCATGTTCTTGAAACCTTGCAGCAATACGGCTGTTTTGAGGCCTCGTTTAATAGTGTCCCAATTAACCTCCGAAAATCGGATGCAATCTCACCTGGTAAAATAGAGCTTTACTAATCTCATGTTGGCCCAAGAAAATCCAACTTTAAGTTCCTCACAAGACTGGTTTCCACGGTGGTGCTATTCGCTCACCTTCGCCGTCGGATTTTGCGCGCTCTTCACCTTCTTTGTGCTCATACTGAGGAAAGTAAGTAGGAATCAGACACCTATCGTCATCAGGTATACACCTACTGATTTCAAATGGACTCATTTGATTTATTTAGATGGAGAGTTTTTTTAAAATAATAAACCCCTCAGTATGATTATATAAGATGATGCTATTACATTATTCTTCTGTAAACAACAATTAATTACTCAATACCGAAAATGACATTTGCATCATATAGCCTTTAATAATGGGACATACACGTATATTTTAATTATTTATTTGTCAAGTAGCCAATAATGGAGCTTAATTGATTATTGGACATTACATGTTACGTGCCCGACTTCAAAACAAGTCCAAATTTATTGTTCAACTTATATTTTAATGTCCTGTGCAACCACTCTAAATTCTACAAGATCTAATTATTCATTTATTAAATAATTAGGTAGATAATGATGTTTTGAATATAAAAGGCAAGAATTATTGAAATATTTTTTGAATACTGCTCTATTTAATGTAAGCTTCATTTTAAGACCAATATTGATATGATTTATTGAATTATATTAATATATATTGTCATTATGAACTGTTGATTTTCTTTTATTGAGAAAATTATTTGGTACATGAACGTGCGAATATTTATGGATTGACCTTTGTGATATGAAAAGAAATATGTGTGGCTATATGGATCAGCCAGTGCGGCTCTGCCGCCGGCAAGTAATATTTAATGGTAACCAACGGGTCAATTATTGATCAAAAATATTATAAAGAAATATGACCGATCATATGAAATGGCCAAGTGTTGCAGCCACCAGCAACAGATAATATTGAACGGCTAAATGGATCAGTCAGTATATTAATGATAACCGGTGATATAGAATGGCCAGGTGGCAACGCCACGTGCAACAAATGAATGGCTATACATATACATGGGTCGGCCAGTGCGGCACTGCCGCCGGCGATGGGCAGTACAAATTAAGTGATAGCCAATGAGTGAAATTAATGATACTTTGTATCTGACCATGTGAAAGTTAATTAAAGTCCTTGTCATGAACAGACATTATATGGACTAACCTGGTCCTGAAGTATCAGTTGATAAATTCTCCAAATTTATGGAGATATGAATATTGATGAGATGGTACTATAAGTTACCACATGATTAATGTGATGTCGGAAGTTATGGCATAATGATTAAATGATATCATGGTATAGTAGTACTGGATGCTACCACTTTATGATTAAACAAAGTGATGAAATGGTACTAGAAGCTACCATTGGATGATTGAACAAAATGAGAAAGTGGTATCAAAAGCTACCAGCTATGGGTGATCACACAAAAATGATTTCTCAATATATTATATAAGTCTAAGGGGCTATATCAGATGACGAGATCACATTGGGATACGAGATCATACAGATATTACAATAAAGTGCTCCGGAAGAAGCACAAATGATAATGATTGTAGTCATGAACTACTATACACTGAGAAAAATCAAAATTGATATTATTATTACTGAGAAACAAGTACAAAATGTTCAGATGGTGGAAATATGGAAAAGAGGCAGTAAATACTCGATGAATACAAAATACGCAAAGATTACATAATAGAACCCATAAAAGAAGGGTGCGTCTCGAGAGTTTAAAACTCCGTAACTCTGCCACCCATGAATGATATCTGGGTTCATATTTGAATAATATCTGGGTTCATAATGAGAGATCTAAAGGATCAAAAGCTCTTTTTCGCTTGACCCCTTGTGTTTCCACAGAATCTTGAAATGTGATGCATTCTTGAAGCTTTTTGATAAGTTCAGCAGAAGTGTCAGCAGATTTGAATACTTCTCTCATTGAAGGAGATATAAAGGTTTGATATACTCCTATGTCTAAAAATCCAAGCAAACCATGAAAGAAGTTATTAAAGTTCAATAGACCTATGGGCTTGTTATGAAGTTTCAATATTGCCCATAAAGCAATGGTGAACATTGTCATTAGCGTTCCATACCCGCCTGGAAGAATGATAAAAGCATCGCCATTGTTCACCATATCCATCATACAATCATGAATGGAATGAGTTAACATCATGCTTGTGGAATCCTTGACGACCTTTGTTGAAGCTCTACGAAAAGGTATGATACTTTTCACTTCTATCTCAAAACATTGTCCAGCCATTAAGAAACTATCATAGAAAGTATTGCTAGTCCCTCCATACAGCAAATTGATTTTTTGATTCCCCATCTCTTTGACTAACTGACTTACAATATCAATAGTTTGAGAAAAACTTACCAGTTTAGAACCACCAAGAACACATATGGTTTTGATCGGTTGAAGAAAATTATTACCTTGCGAAGACTCTGAAACATCCATCTATTTATTGATAAACGGAATTTTTCAAAACTTTGTGAGGCATATGATTATGATGAACGACTCGCTATTTAAATAGAAAGTTTTACAAAGCAATAAATAATTTTACTGTTTTCTTCTGACAATTGCAACTGACAGATAAGGTGTTGGGTTTTAAATAAATATTATCTGTCGGCAACTATAAGTTTTTCTAGAAAATTACAGTGCAACATACTAAACTTTATTAGTATAATTTTTCGTACTAACAAGACCAAATTTACAAACTTGATCTTTTGAAATAATATTTTTGAGACTATAACGTTCTTCTTCACTTTTGAACTGAGTCCATAAAGACATAAGCTCACGATGCACATATCCACTAGGATGTGTCTCAAGAATCTGTTGAATCGTGTGATCCAGAGACTCCTTACTCAATCCATCATTTATAAATGATATTTTATCTTGTCGATTTCTGGACACGTACCCCACAGATTTACATCGTGTGTCACAAGTCCATCGAGCGCATTTGAAGCATCCATCTAACCTTTTTGCTCTTCGTTTCTTTGCATAAGTACTTTTACCCATACCTGGCATATATTTATATGAATTTGGAAACTCTCCAGACAATCGAACTTGTGCTTCGATCAACCATCTAACATCATTTGGAATACCATTATTCATTAGCATCCTCAATCTTTCTAATCGAGATCGATAAATCCTTTTTATGATATTTTTCGGAAGAAAAGAATAATATTTACGGATATTTGAGAGTGCTAAATCCATTTGTAAATTCGGACCTTTGTTAAAGAAAATTGAATGAATTACCTGATAATTTATAGAAAAATATGATGCGTATGAGATACGACTCTGGACTTAAACAGTGTTCAAAAGTATGTGTGTCAGACAGCATGATACGATTCTGGATTTAAACAGTGGTTAAAAGATATTATACCAGAGCATACACTTAAAGTGCATTTATTACCGCCAAAAGATGATGTGAAATGTTTGTGATAAACATGTCACAACAAATTATTGTGATCACTTTAAAAATGTTTACCGATATTATTGATGATGGTTTGCATGATGAACTTATTCTTTGTGATATGAGATGCTTGTTCCCGATTAGTGAAAAATATTACTAGCTAAATGTTTGTGAATCGATATATGATCAATCTAAGTATGAAAGGGGTACGATATATATGGGCCCACTACCCCTCCATGTGTGCTACTAGATATTATGGATCCACTAGATAGCCACATGTGTGTGACTCGTAACCTGAAGTTACGAGATGATTTGATCAAAGAATGTGTATATGACATGTAACCTGAATTTACGAGATGGTTTGATCTAAGGATGACACAAGATGATTATGAAAGAATGAAAATAAGTGTCATATGAAAGTGATGAAGCTAGTAATATACTCACCTGATATGATGAACTCTTGAAAGAAAAATGTGCACACTACAAATGATATGAGTTCAAAGTCCTCCAAATATATGTTGAAATCAAGAACAAAATAGAGACTATATGAACTACCCTCAAGAAATTCAATACTAAAAATACAGATCAGGAATCTGTTAAGATGAGGGAGAGAATCAATGATTGAAATTTGGAAAATGATATATGCATCACAGTGAAAGTGTGCAAATCATAAACTATATGATACTGATGATGATGAATTATATGATAGTGGAATAATACGCTGGAAGCATTGGTATTGTGCAAATTGAAATTCCCCGAATAAGTGATGAAAGAAGGTATATTTACTATTGTTGAAATCAATTGATAATGAGATATCTCAATATACTACGGGGAATAATGGAAATGAATAAGTGTCGACACAAACAAATGAATAGCGCTATATAAATGATATTGACGAGAATGAAATCAGCTGAAATGTGAATATTGGGAACTATTGGCAGTAACACCATTGAAATCAATTGATGATGAGAATGAGTTTAAGAATAAACGTTGCACAAAGCATGATATGACATATTGTCATAAATACCATCAATATCTGAAAATCTGAACGAATTTATATGATACTCATACAAATTATGGAAAGATTATTATGGTGAATATATGAAATACGCGTTGTACTCTTTTTCTCTTGGCTAAGGTTTTGTCCCATTGGGTTTTCCTAGCAAGGTTTTTAATGAGGCAACAAGGATAGCGTATTCACATGAATAGTGTACTCTTTTTCCTTCATTAGGATTTTGTCCCACTGGGTTTTTCCTAATAAGGTTTTAACGAGGCATATTCATGGTATCATGAGCACTATTGGATAAATGATATGATTCCTCACGGTGATAAGAGAGACTGGAGTAGCTGTACTCTTTTTCCTTCGATCAAGTTTTTTCCCACTGGGTTTTCTTGACAAGGTTTTAACGAGGCAGCACACATGGATACTCCACTAAAGATGATCTATTTGAAGGGGAGCAAAGTTGTGCTTCCACGATGATCAGGTTTTGTCCCACCGAGTTTTCCTGAAGAAACAATGTTATGATTTCAATATGATCAGGTTTTGTCCTACCGGGTTTTCCTGACGTGCTGAAGCAAAGGTACCTGATGGCCACAAGATACACTTGAAGATGTGCAGATTGGGCTTTGTTCAAATCAGTTAAAATATGTTTAGAAAAAAGTCATTCAAGGGGGAGTGTTAGAAATAATAAAATAATGTATGTGAATGACTATTTTGCCCTCGATGTATTTGTATTATTACAAATTGTGCCATCAGGAGTTTCCTATAAATAGGAGTTTCAGTTATAATGAAAAACACACCTAAGAGAATACATTTTCTCTATTCTCTCTCTTTCTCTCTAGTTTTATAACAAATACCTATTATTTAAATTTGTCACGCTTATATATTTTGAAGAAGACAAACTAGTAGACTACTGCAGTAATTAATGCTATATTTGATAAAACTAGCTGATAACTGATAAGTTACCGTATCTTATAAGTGATTTCAAGTTTATAACTAATAACTTACAACTTATAATTGAAAAACTAGCTTATATGATTAAACTTATTTGAATAAATTACCGGATCACTAAATCACTTCACCGAGTCACTAACCCAGAAAAGACCTAGATAAGGGCCATTTCAGGTCGGTCATTCCAGACCTACCGGGCCGAGCCCGACCCAACTTTTGGCCATGTCTACTTACGACAAGTCGAAACTATTTGTTTTGGAAATTGAAGTAGCCCTTCACTCACGCTGCTACTTATTCTATTTCTACTATGATCACTTCTAAAATGACTTTTCATATCAACACAAATTAAAAGCTTAATAATAGCACAGCCATGGCAAATTGATCCCAGCCCTTTAATAAATCCTTCATCTAAGCAAATTATTTTTTCATATGGTGGAACCAGTCAAGGTCTACTTGACCTCATTGTCCAATCATCTTAATCTCTTCATAATTTCCAAACATCAGTCTCTCCGGGTCATTTCCATCTAATTTTAATATTGTATTTTATGAAATATGAATACCGATTATTTAAATTTGCAACGCTCACATATTTTGAAGCAGGCAAACTTGAACAGTAAATATTAAATACTATATATAAGTGTATCAAACTATCCATTTTTTTCCAAATTATCCAAGTGCTTTCTCTTTCAATCACAGATTTTTCAGACATGGCCTATTACAACATATTCCTCTTCACATTAGCATCTCTACTGCTCAATTTGAACACCACATTTGTAGTAAGCTCAGCTGGTGACACCAAAACCTTAAACACATATATTGTCCATGTTGAGTTACCTTCAAGCAGCCTTTCAGACGACCTACAAGACTGGTACGAAACCTTCTTGCCCTCAACCCCAACAACCTCGGACGAGCACCGCATCATGTACTCGTACCACCACGTCTTCAAAGGGTTCGCCGCCAGGCTAACCCCCGATCAGGCGAAAGCACTTGAGACCAAGCCCGGTTTCATCTCGGCCCACCCTCAAAAGACGCTCCCTCTCCACACGACCCACTCCCCCGCTTTCCTGGGCCTCGCCCAAAACACGGGTCTCTGGACGGACTCCAACTACGGAAGGGGCGTGATTATCGGCGTCCTCGACACCGGCATAACCCCCGACCACCCGTCCTTCCACGACCAAGGCTTGCCCCCGCCACCCGCCAGGTGGCGGGGGCTCTGCCAGCTCGACCCCCCCTTTACCTGCAACAACAAGCTCATCGGCGCCAGGCGGTTCAACGTCGGCAACGGCACGCCTCAAGACGAGGACGGCCACGGGACCCACACGGCGTCCACTGCCGCCGGGAACTTCGTGGGCGGCGCCAATGTGTTCGGAAACGCCGACGGGACCGCGTCGGGAACCGCGCCGCTCGCCCACGTGGCCGTCTACAAGGCGTGCGACCCTTCGGGCTGCCCGGAGAGCGACATTCTCGCCGCCATGGACGCCGCCATCGACGACGGCGTGGACATACTCTCCCTCTCCCTCGGAGTCTTCGCGCTCGACTTCTTCACCGACAGCGTGGCGGTCGGCGCGTTCAGCGCGGTCGAGAGGGGAATATTCGTGAGCGCCTCGGCGGGAAACAACGGCCCGTCTCTCTTCGGCGTTCAGAACGGGGCCCCGTGGGTGCTGACCGTGGGTGCCAGCACGACCGACCGCAGGATACGGGCGGCCGTGGTCTTAGGGAACGGTGAGGAGTTAGACGGCGAGATGGCCTTTCAGCCGGCCGATTTTCCGGCGACTCCTCTCCCGCTCGTTTATCCGGGGGCGAATGCAAGCAACCGCAACGCTTCGTTCTGCACACCGGCGTCGCTGGCGAACGCCGCACAAGTTCGGGGGCGGGTTGTTCTGTGCGAGACCGGCGGGGGTATAACGAGGATTGCCAAAGGCCAGGCTGTCAGGGATGCCGGTGGGGCAGCCATGATCCTTGTCAACCAGGAATCTCAGGGCTACACCACGGATTCCGATTCCCATGTTCTTCCTGCCGCGCACCTCAGCTATGCCGACAGGCTGAGAATCCAGGCGTATTTGAACTTGACATCTTCGTCATCCCCAACGGCGACAATTTTGTTCAGAGGAACTGTTTTCGGTGATGACCGGGCCCCAGCGGTGGCATCGTATTCCGGCAGGGGCCCGAACCTGGCGAGCCCCGGAATTCTGAAACCGGATATTATTGGGCCCGGGCACAACATCCTTGCAGCCTGGCATGTCTCGGTCGAGAACAACAGCAACACGAATTCCAACTTCAATATCATATCGGGAACCTCGATGTCATGTCCTCACCTTAGTGGAGTCGCGGCCTTGCTGAGAAATGCGCACCCTGATTGGTCACCGGCAGTAATCAAGTCGGCCCTCATGACCACCGCGGATCGGGTCAACCGAGCAGGAAATCCCATTGAAGACCAAAGTCAGAGGCCCGCTAACCTCCTTGCCACGGGCTCGGGCCAAGTCAACTTATCAAGGGCGATGGACCCAGGGCTTGTTTACGACATCCGGCCCGAAGATTACGTGAATTATCTGTGTGGATTGAATTACACAGACCAGCAGGTCCAGATAATTGTAAACCGTCCAGTCAGGTGCTTGGAAATTCGTGCCATAGCAGAAGGGGAACTGAATTATCCATCGTTCTCGGTTATTCTTGGAAATTCTCCCCTGAGTTATAACAGGACCGTCACCAATGTGGGTGAGGCTAATTCGGTTTATACGATGGGGTTTGCCGGGCTGCCGAGCGTAGACCTGAGGGTGGAGCCTACGAGCCTCCAGTTTTCGGGGCTCGGCCAGAATTTGACATACCAAGTGACTTTCCGCAGATTGGCCAATGCAAGAAGCGACACCGTCGTTCAGGGATTTCTCACATGGACTTCGGCTAGGCACACGGTCAGAAGTCCGGTCGTCGTTATACTTGAATGACAATCAGTAACTCGGGTTACCAGCTATGTAGAAACCTGATGATATTAATTTGTGTGCTAATAATTACTTATCGTTGCTTTGGCTTCAATAAAATAAATAAATAAAAGAAAACTCCAATGCTAGTTTTGCAATCTGTTCATACCTTCAGTATCCAGAGAAAAACCTCAAAGAGGGAACAGGCAATAGTGACTGACAAAAAAATATTTAATTCTTGCTTGTATCTAGCAACTCTCTCTGCATTGTTGATGGCAGAACACATTTAGGCATCGAAGGTTTTGAAGACTGATAAGAATCACATAATCTTAATCTTTTCTGTTATGTATAAAAACTCCAAAAAAATCAACTTTTAAGTGCATAAGTATACAATAAAATTGAAGAAGATCAAAGATAAAACAAACAATAACAAAATAAGAAGAATAATGAACAAAAGTAAAGTGAAAAATGAAGGTTTATAAACTATTGATGTCTACTACGACTCCCAAACATTAATAACAAACTACATTAGTAACCTTAAAATTTGTATACAGTGTAGTGTATTTTTCGCAATTCAAGAAATCTCAACTAACCACTCTTCCTTTTGGGAGAGTTGTGTTTTTCCATTTGCTTGTCCCTTATGAGGGGTCGACATACAGTTATTGTCTGGTTGGTTCATTTGTCTGTTCTTGTTTCTCTGGTTTACATTATCTGAACCAAATACTGGTGACTCATATGGCTCTCTCTCCATCTGACAATACACCATTGTTTCTGATAGCTTCAGCAGCCTCACCGTTTAATATCATGTTCGTTTCGAGCTGAATGCGAATCTCTTTGAGAAGATGATTCACCATTGTCTTTCCAACTAGGATTTGATAGTTTGTCGTGAACTGACTGTACAGTTTCGGTTATTTCATTTTTCATGCCATCAGCAGATCTGATTACCTTCCGTACACCATCAGATCTAATACCCCACAAAAGAATGTTATACTCATTGTAATTAATAGACTAGCCGGTGATTAGTCATTTTAAGTATCCTCCTCTCCTTGCTAGCCCCATTTCTTCCTTCCAATGCAATGCCTTTCTTCTTCCTCTACTAATGTTTTCATCAATTCCTTTTGAATTTCTTGTTTCAACCCTTCCAGTTTCAGCTTCTCTTGCGTTTTACGTAAAATTAACCAAACAGTGCTCAATGCCAAGATGAATATGAAGTTACTAATTAATGTTATGCTTTCCAACAAATACTATCAAAGAAAAATGTAACATAGCAAAACATAAGATCACTTGATAACACAATCAAGCATGGGGGGCAACATAAAATGATCCCACTTCCCAGCAATAAGATACACAATGCTGGAACTACTGAAAGTGAAAATCAAGCACATAATTGTTCATTCTCTCCAAAACTAAAAGTATGTCGTCGTTAATCCACACCCAGAAATCATTATGCCCTCTGAAAAGTCTTATCTAATAAATTAAATTGAAGCTGAAGAAACTGCGTGTTGAACAAGAAGAAATTGTTTCTTGTCCGTTCAAGAAACTGTTTTTTGTTCAATAAATTGTTTATTCTTCAACAAACGATTACTTCAACTCCTAAAACTCGAAAAAACGGCTCAAGAAACTGTACAACAAAAGTAATGAACTCCAAAACACAATCCTCTTTTTCAAGCACAAAAACACGATTTTTTTAACTCTAAAAAAATATTACTTCAACAAAATAAAATGGTGCAAGACAAATCAATGTTGGGAACAAAAATAATAAATGTTTTGAGAAAAATTATTTAACATAATAAAAAAAAAAAATTAGGTTTAGGTCAATGCACCTTTTTTCGTCTCAAAAAGAGATTCACTTGGTGGTGTTGGAGATGATTTTTGGTCGAGATGATTCACTTAAGTGAAATTTGGGAAGATGAGTAATTTTTTTTTTTTTAAGCTCTGCACAGGAACCCAACAATGGAGGAAGAGGAAGGCGTGCAGCAATTTTTACGATCTGCTCACTCTTTTTGCTTTTTTATTTTCCTTTTTTTTTTTTAATTTTTAGTAGGTAAACATTAATAAGGGTACAATAATACTTTTATCCCCTAAAATAGCTAGATTTCATTGTTTTAAAAAACATGGTCATATTTCATTTTTTTCTTCAAAAAAGTACTAGTAAACCGCGCCACTGATAATACAATATACTTTTTGCAAATCAATCAGTTGTTTTTACCAAACATATATTTTGCAAACTGCTAATTATTTATAGTTGGTCAAAACAACTAATACCAACACCTAGTTAACACAACTAATACCAACAACTAGTCAAAATAATTGTTACAATCAGCTATTTACAATCAGCTATCCCCTAGTAGGTAATGGTAAATAGCAAACAGGCCATTATAACATACCCATGCCATTATAACACACCCATATATATCAAGATTTCGTATATTTAACTTGTGTGTGCAAAGTAGAAGATGAAATGCCAAATTGTGACTAGCATAGATCAAATCAAACTTGCCAAACCACCACAGCTTTTATAATTTATAACTACACTATGCCTTTCAACCAACGGAGCATTAAAGCAACTAACCTCGTGCCCCTCTACCCTCCATTCAACACTCACTTGCCACTCTTTCTCGTCCCTTCCCTCACCAAAATCTTTCAAATCTCTCTCTCTATTTATGAATACACACACACACACACAAACCTACTCCAACACATATAAGCTAAATTACACCAAAAAAACAGAAGAAAAAAAAATGGTTTCTCCATTAATTACAACATCTCCAAGCCCGCGGGTCGAAACCCTGGCCCGCAGCGGAATCGACACCATCCCGAAGGAATACGTCCGGCCCGAAAACGAGCTCGAAAGCATAGTCGACGTGTTCGCGGATGAAAAGATCTGCGGCGGCGGGCCCCACGTCCCGACCGTCAACCTCGCGGGCATCGACTCGGAAGACGACGAGGCTCGGAGGAAATGCCACGAGGAGCTGAAGAGGGCCGCGGCCGAGTGGGGCGTGATGCACCTAGTCAACCACGGCGTGCCCGAGGAGCTCACGGACCGGGTCAAGAACGCGGGCCGGGAGTTCTTCGACCTGCCCGTGGAGGAGAAGGAGAGGTACGCCAATGACCAGGCGAGCGGGAACGTGCAGGGCTACGGGAGCAAGCTGGCGAACAACGCGAGCGGGCGGCTGGAGTGGGAGGACTACTTTTTCCACTGTGTTTACCCTGAGGAGAAAAGGGATATGTCCATTTGGCCTAAGAATCCACTTGATTATATGTGAGTTGCCTTATCCTTATTTGCTTATGTATCTGATTTCTGATGTTTGATAATTATTTTATGTGTTGAATTCTGATTGCTTCGTAATTTATTGTCAAATTCAATTTTTGGTGTTTCTATTCTAATTATTTCGTAATCTTATTTGTCAATTTATAATGATTCTATATACGTGTCAAATTCTGGTTGGTTGTTTTATATTATGTGTTTCGTAATCTCATGTGTTAATTTATAGTAATTCTATGTGTTGAATTGTGGTTCTTTATATAATCTTATGTGTTAATTTATGGTGCTTTCAAATAGTCCAATTGGATTGAACTTGTTTGATAGTATTTTTAAAATTATACAACACTTGACCAATAGAGCTAATGAATTTTATCTTTGTATCAAATTAATCATCTTTAAACCAATTTTGATTTGACATTTATATAATAAATAAATGAATAAATAATTTTAACATTTTTATTATAAAAATTAGACATTCTATTAATTGTACAAGTGAAGTGAAGAGTATCATTTAAAATATCTATGAGAGATTTAGAGAAAGGTATTATAATATAAGACATAATTGTACAACATCATTGAAATATAAATAATTAATTAATAATACAACTTCTGTTAAACGTATTTGAAACTTAAATAAAAAGTTACCGTTCCACGATTTTGCTATGAAGCCAATTGTTGGCTCTATAGTGGAGCCAACCTTCTATATACAACAAATAAACCTATCATATTCTCTGATTACTTAAATAATACTAATATAATTTTATTAATATAGTAGGTTTATTTGTTGTATATAGAAGGTTGGCTCCACTATGGAGTCAACTGTTGGCTTCATAGCAAAACCGTTCTTTCCAATTTCTTTTTTTTTTTTCTTTAAGAAAATTTAACTGTACATTTAACTAACACCCCGTGTAATCCAGCCCGGCCACGAGCGAGTACACGAAGCAGCTGCGAAACCTAACCACCAAAATACTAGCCGTCCTCTCATCCGGGCTCGGCCTGGACGAGGGGAGGCTTGAAAAAGAAGTCGGCGGGAAAGACGAGCTCATCCTCCAGATGAAAATAAACTATTACCCAAAATGCCCCCAGCCAGAGCTCGCCCTCGGCGTCGAGGCCCACACAGACGTGAGCGCGCTCACCTTCATCCTCCACAACATGGTCCCTGGCCTGCAGCTCTTCTACGAGGGCAAATGGGTCACAGCAAAATGTGTGCCGAACTCGATCATCATGCACGTCGGGGACACGATCGAGATCCTGAGCAACGGCAAGTACAAGAGCATTTTGCATCGGGGGCTCGTGAATCGGGAGAAGGTGAGAATTTCATGGGCGGTGTTTTGCGAGCCGCCCAAGGAGAAAATCGTGCTTAGGCCGCTGCCCGAGACTGTCTCGGAGGCCGAGCCGCCGCTTTTCCCGCCGCGAACTTTTGCGCAGCATATAATGCATAAGCTGTTTAGGAAAGATGATGAGGATCAATTATGTGGTGTTGATGAGAAAGCAAGTGATGATCTTCAGTCTATTAGTTGATTAATGGTACTTGTGTTAATTTGTGGCTAGTTGTTGCTCGATTTCATTTTCTTGGCTGTTGGCACTATAATAAGCTTGACGTTTTGCTTGATTACTATAGAATGTGTTGTGTGTGTGGTCATCCTGTGATAGTGGCAAGAGCTAGCACATATCCTTATGTATGTTCTATGTACTACATGGCACATAGTTTGATCAATAAAGGGAACACTAGCAACTTATATATCCATTCTATATTGGAGTTTATTCATTTGAGATTTTAGACTACAAGCCACAAAAAGTATGTTGATTGTCTTGTACATTGTCTTGTACACTTCGTATACGTGAAACACTTATTGTACCCTTACTTTAATTTCAAGTATATTTTATTTTAATTCATTAAAATTTCTATTTAATTTCAAGATCATGTACACAAAATAATAAAATTAATTAAAAAAATATGATCCATTAAATTTAAAGCATGTCATAATTGATGATCCAACAATTTTGCTGTTCGCTGGCGTCAACCACCACCGTCAACTACTTTTCTTCGCCCACCTACCAGTGATAGATTTCGACTAATCATATATAATTGCGAAGTTCTCTATTCAATCTTTTCAACGCATATGATACCTCAAACTTTGTTAAATCATTGTTAATATTTAAAAAACACATTGTACCAAAAAAAAAATATTTAAAAAACTCACATGTCACTTTTTTTATTTTTCCTTTAATTTTTAAAGTTATATAAACCAAATAGGACATGACACCTAACTCATGAATCAGCTAGCTTTTCAGTCATCTTCAAGCTATAACCGTGAAATGCATTGACCATAATAAGCTAGATTTACCAAATTTACATTTACTATATCTCATAATTATCAACTTATAGCTAACATTTATTGGGAGATGCTACGGTCTCATTAAATCAATTATCCCTAACGATTACATAATGATTTAACTGTTACAAACTCCGACGGAATGGTTCCGTAACGAAACCGCAGTATTTTCACATTTATATGGGATGCTAAAGCCACGTGTTGCCAATAACAGAAAAACAATCAACGTGGCGACATCTGCAATATTTAAGAATAAAATTAAACCAATCAGAATTCAGAACTAACAGACAATTATTATTTGAAAAATCAATACAAAGCCTCTCACAGTATCTCAGATTTCTTTCCAATGGCTCCACACCACACATCCTTCCTTCGCCTTATCCTCCACCTGTCTCCTTCTAATGGTGAGCCTCCACCCAAAACCATCTACTTTTCCCTGTACTGCTTGGTTCCTTAGTTGCGTTCGATCCTCAAAATCCCAGCCCCAGCCGCGATCCGACCGCCGCCGCCGCCGCCGCAAATGGCCGCCAAGCTTGGTTTACCGAGATTCTTAACCGTCCAGCTCAGGAAGCCGTTCATGTCTGTCTCTTCTTTACCGTCTTCTGCTCCCGGAGCTCATTCGATCGATTTTGGAGCCGGAAAGTTGTGTTTCCGCGGCAGACGAGTGGTTATTGTTCCTAAAGCTACCACCGATCAGCCTGGTTAGGTCAACTTTTCTAATTATGTGATTGTTGAATTGTTTTTCATGTTTCCACTTTTGTTCTTTCTGTGCTTTGTTTTGTAATGTATGAGCTAGTTTATGTTATGAAAGCATTTTGGGTGATGCTGTTGTTTCCTGGCTGCTGCAATTAGTTTTTAAAATGTTCTGTAAAGAAAATTGGTTCTACTTTTTCGTAAGTGGAAGAGTTAGAATAAAATCTCAAAAACAATTTTAGGTTGAACAAGAAATTAATTCTATAGTTGAAATGTGGGGAATTTGAGTCAAATGCAACTAAAAATTGAGCGTAAGAACTCAAATATTGTAGGATTACCAAAGGTCAGGTTTTGACGAATTGGAACGAGCCATAATCATGCAGTATGCATGCTAAAACTATAGAAGGGTTAGTTGGAGACAAGTATGAAAAAAAAACAAACAGGATTTCGAGTCCAAACCAGTGCGTATGAGCTCCTGGCCCACAGGTGCGCCCCAAGCCCTGTTGCGGGCGCGACACTTAGATCAGCCCACCAATTGGGCGTGGCGAGCACGCGACCCGTACGCCCTGCTTGTGCCGAAAAGGTTCTAACTCAGTTTTGGACTATCGGGCACATTCCTAAAGGTGCCTTCTGATGCCTTGAAACCCCTGGAGATGTCCAAGAACATCTATAAAGCACCCATGAAGTGAAATCATTCATATAATCAGATTTTAAGATCTTTGCATCCTTTTACAAGTCCATAAAGCATCTTGTGTTCGTTGTTCTTTGTGTTCGTTTTTATCTCGAGAGTTCTGAAACTTGAGAATGAAACTTGTGTATTGCTTAGGTTTTTGTATTTGAATTACCAGCACAAATCAAACTTCTTTGTATCTTGGATGCGTTAGCCGTGAACCGTGAGTAATATACTGGGTTGTTTCGTCTTAAGGAAAGCGTGTCTTACGTGCCTTGACTTTGATAAGTTTATAGTTTTCCTTCTGATTTCTGAAGTCATTTTATTGACATTCACAAACACACAAACATGTTCAACAATCACTTACTCAGAAAAGTGCCGGCAGACGAGCGGTTGTTGTTCCTTAAGCTGCTACCACTGATCAGCTTGGTTAGGTCAAATTTTCTGAATAAAGTGGTTGTTTACTTTTCAAGTTTCCATTTTTTGTTTATTTATGTTTCGTAATGTATGAACTAGTTTCTATTATGCTTTATGAAGGCATTTTGATTCGTCACAAACATCGCATACATAGTTGGTTGGTTACGACTGTCGACTGTACTTGTAAAATTCTATCCTATAGCTTTTATGGATTCAGAATTGGACCGTTTTAGTTGCTGCTGTTGTTTCCTAGCTAATGCAGTTATCTGATCTGAAATCGTCGTAAATGAATTTATTAGAGCAGACATAAGCGCACAATGTTAACTAAAGTCCTTGTTCACTGCAGGTCAGGTTCAAGAAGGTGATGTTGTTGATAGCAATGTCTTGCCTTATTGTAGCATTGATAGAAAGCAGAAAAAGACTATAGGGGAAATGGAACAAGAATTTCTTCAGGCGCTTCAGGTAATAAAATGTTATATTTTATCTTTTGGTTTATGTTTGTCTATATCATTTATCTCCATGTTTCGAGCTACCACCTTGCATTATCTCATCATTACGGAGATGTTCTCGATGGTTGATCTTTTGCAGGCTTTCTATTATGAAGGAAAATCTATCATGTCTAATGAAGAATTTGATAATCTCAAAGAAGAACTCATGTGGGAGGGAAGCAGTGTTGTAATGCTAAGTAATGCAACTTTCGATTTATCAATTCACCTCTTATCACTAAAATTGCTTTGCTTGTGGACAGGATTTTTACGTTAATCGATCAAAATGCTTTACCTGAAACTTGCTTTCTTGCTATGCAGGTGCTGATGAACAGAGATTTCTGGAAGCTTCAATGGCATATGTATCGGGTAACCCACTTATGTCGGATGAAGAATTTGACAAACTTAAACAGAAACTTAAGGTACTTATCTTGTTGAAGTAATCCACCAGGATTTATGGCATCTTATCTTAATAAAAGGATAGTAATTCTAGTGATACATGATTGTTTGAGTAGCTCTATAGAAATGAAAATCACTTATCACTGTATTGTCAGTTTTGATCATTCAGGCGGGTGCCGGTGTTGGGTTGATACCATTATATCATTTGTATTACAATTTATTCAGTTTACAGTGTCTATGTTCATTTAATTTCAACCCTTTAGTATCTTGTAGATGGATGGGAGTGAAATTGTTGTTGAGGGTCCTCGATGCAGTCTCCGCAGTAGAAAGGTTAGTGATACTTCCTCCTGAAGCTACAGTAGTTTTTTTTCTGCTATTTTTTTTTTTTCGATATTAATCATAGGGGCACTGGAGTTTCCATGTTTTCAAGCTGCCACCTGATTTTGAGTACCTTAGGATCCATTTCAAAGATGTTTGTTCCTCTCCACCTTTTAAGATCTTGACACCTGATTCATTGTTCAGTAGTAGATTGTGGAATAGACTCTGATGGCATGCTTCGGAAATTATTCAATATCTTAATTCTATTGCAAGCTTCTTTAAGAACTTAACCATAGGAGCCTATGAATAGACAATTTGATGGTCGGATAAATTCCTTTGGAGTTCTACATTAACATGTTCCACTTTATTGTTTTCAATTTCCATTTACACAGAAATACATTTGGTTGATTAATAATAATTCACTAGTGCAGTTCTCAATTTAATATTTGACTTTAGCTTTACAGTATGGGTTGTAGAGAATGTTGCATTATCAATTAGACTGATTCAGCTCCTTTTTTTATTCTTTTGTTTTTTTTTTTTTTCTTTTCTCCAATCTGGAATGCTTTGTTAAATTGCAGGTTTACAGTGACCTTAATGTTGACTATCTCAAGATGTTTCTTCTGAATGTTCCAGCTGCAGTTGTTGCATTAGGATTGTAAGTGACTCTAATTCATGAGTTGCATGAACAACAAATCATCATCCCATTTCTTACTATTTTAGGCACAGTACATATAGCTCACAAAGTTCTACTCTACTGTCCTGTTTAGGTTTTTCTTTCTGGATGATTTGACTGGATTCGAAATTACCTATCTCTTAGAGGTAATTTCATATCGTTTTGCGGGATCTCAATAACAATATTCTCGACGTAATTTCTGAATGCACCGGATAATTTATGCACACCTGAAATCTACTATTGCAGTATCTCTTAATCCTAACCCAAACCTGTTTTTTTGTTCAGCTTCCGGAGCCTTTCAGTTTCCTTTTCACGTGGTTTGCAGCATTGCCCCTCATACTATGGTTATCATTTACCATAACAAATACCATTGTGAAAGATTTTCTGATCCTGGTGGTAAGATTTTATTAATTTCATAAGTCAAGTCAGGATAAGAAAAATATTGTGAAACCTTTTTTTTTTTTTTTTTTGTTGCTTATGTTCTTCAGTGAAAGATGAAATTCAATGTTTCAGGGCCCCTGTCCCAACTGTGGCACAGAAAACACTTCATTCTTCGGGACTATATTATCAATATCTAGTGGCGGTTCCATAAATAACGTAAAATGCTCAAAGTAAGTCCAATATTAAGTGGCATTCAATCTAAATATCTTACACTCAGAAATATAACTTTCTAACTCTTGTTACAATATGACCATCAGTTGTGGGACTGAGATGGTGTACGATTCTAAGACACGACTAATTACATTGCCTGAAGGAAGTGAGGCATGACTTCCAGGTACGGACCTCATAATTCTGCTATTCTGTACTGAATAATCTCCTCAATTTCGAGGTAACCTTAATGAGTAAGCTGTTTTTCATGTCTAGATTCACAATGTGGCATAGCATGGATGTGATAAAATCAGAGGATGTGTAGATACTGTGAATGTGAGCACGTAAAGAAAGTGAGTCCATAGATACTGTGTAAGCACTGCAAGAATGGTTTGAGTGTGAAATAGAAGTACCATGAGTCGGAAATCATATGTACATTGGTCGAGTGAGATTGGTAAGCTCAAATGGTTTGTATGATAGCTATTTTAGTTCGTATGATGACAAAACACTTTTGAGTGTCGATACCTTATAGTATTCGAGTGCCATCTTGTACTGATCGTGTCTCTATTTATACTCTGCTGCTCTTTGGAGAAACTTTTTCATGTAATGTGCTATGCCCAGTAGCAGAACTTATGGTGTCTACTTGAAACTCAGACCCGGCTTGGACAATGATGCATCTTAGTCACTGATTCAACTGTCAGTCATTGGGTAAATTGCAGATTGATTAATTTTTTAGATAATTTTTAGAAAATTCAAAATTATATACACTATTTTTTCTTTTAAATTTAAATGAAAAAGTAATGTGTAAATTTTATACGTCAAAAGTATAATATTATTGTTTTCAGATATAAAATTTACCGTATAAATATATACGCAAAACTTTTAGTTTAATATTAATAAAAAAATTATTGGATCAATTGAATTGAACTGGCCGGGTCAATCTAGGGCAGTCTAGGTTTAGATGGGATCATGTCTGAATGTTCTATCCGACCCGACCAGCCTATACAAAATTGATTGAATTTGATATTTAATCGCAGTTCAATATCTTGTGAATGCATATACTTGTGGATGTATAAATGCACAAAACAAGATTCAACAAATATCCGTATTTTCACAATGATATTGTTAATGCTCAAAAATGTCAGCAACATGGGGTGAACTGTACACTAAATTGTATACTTTGCTCAATCTGTACGAATAGATTTGTTCTTGAAATATGGGTTGAATCCCTCTTCTATTCATGACTTTTGGATATATATCTTTTATGAGAAGAAAACATGAATTAAAGTATACAAAAAAATAAGAAAATATTATTTAGTAGTGTCTCTCAGAGAATTTTTTTTGTGTTGATGTTTTTTCTCCCTTTTTCTTTTGAACGAATGTCCCCCCTTTCTTCTCCGGGATAATTCTATTGTAGGGCTTGACTTTATGTTATTGTGCCACAATAAGGCTTGAATTTTTAACTTTTTCATCTGAAGGTTTCAATTTTAAGTTACTCTCAATATAAGGTCTACTTTCACATTCTACTTTTCAATTTAAAACTCCAAATCATTTTAGTAAATTTTAATATAATTATGTAGACAATAATACTTTGTTTAAAATTTATTTTTTAAGTACTTATAATGAAATTATTAAATATCTTTGATAAAATTATCTAATAAGATAATTATTTCATAATTTGCAATTATGAAAGGCTTAATAAAATTTATTTTAAAAGTTAAAAAATAAATTTTTAACTTTATTTTAATCTAAATATGTGATAACATTATAATATAAACTATTTAGAAAAATAGGTTTATTTTTTTAAATAAACTTATAGAAAATATTATTTGTGAATAAAACTACATACAATAAAATTTTTCGGGTATTAATTTTATATATTCATAAATTTTTCAAAAATATAAATTTTATTCACAAATAATATTTTCTGTAAGTTTATTTAAAAAAATAAAATTATTTTTCTAAATAGTTTATATTTTAATGTTGTCACATATTTAGATTAAAATTAAGTTAAAATCAATCTTTTAACTTTTAAAATAAATTTCATTAAGCTTTTGCATAAATGTAAATTATGAAATAATTATTTTATTAGATAATTTATTAGAGATATTTAATATTTTTTATTATAAGTACTTAAAAAATAATTTTTTTAAGAAAGTATTGTTATTTACATAATTATATCAAAATATAAAGTGATTTGGAGTCTTAGATTGAAAAGTAGAATGTAAAAGTAAGTCTTATATTGAGAGTAACTTAAAATTGAAACCTTCAAATGAAAAAGGTAAAAATTCAGGCCTTATTGTGACACAATAACAAAAAGTCAAGACTTGCAATGGAATTTCCCCATTGAAAAAGTATAAATGCACAAAACAAGATTCAACAAATATCCGTATTTTCACAATGATATAATTTTAAAAAATAAAATATAAAGATAAATTAGACATTTCACTATAATATGATGTAAATATGTTGAGAAGTATGACAAATATACCCTTATAACCGTCACAACAGTTTTTCTGATAAATAAATAGCACAATTTACACCTACTGTATTTCATTAACATTATCCATCCCCCAACAAGACATAGCAAGGTTCAAAACACTCTTAGTTGATCCCACGTTTCTTCGTGTTTCATATTAACTTTTGACTTGTGAATGTCCAAACATGTTAGTGAAGGTCACGAAGCCTATATATTGTTACCAAATCCCACCTACTCCAAAAACTATTTATATATATTACACCATACTTCTCATTTAGTCCGTATGGGAAACCCAGATTTTGTAACTTAGGATAAAAGAGGTACTTAGTTAATTAGCAAAGTTAAGGTTCTAAAGGAAAAAAAAATGTCTTCGTTGATTTACATAAGGTCCCTTGGCTTCTTCTTGGCTGTGGCGGCAATGATGGTCCGCCAGGCAATGGCCGTGGTCTATTCTTCCCCTGTATTCCGCACCACTACGTGGCAGCTTGCTCATGCTACATTTTATGGCGATGAAACTGCTTCTGAAACTATGGGTGAGTTTTTTTTTTTTTTTTTTTTTTNCATTATGTCACGTTTACACTTTCTTTACAATATCCATATAGATCCTTTGATGATTATTGCATTTGGAAACAGTTTTTAAGCGAACAATTAATAATAATAATAATAAAGCATTCACGTATTTTGTGTGCCTATGAACTCCAATATTATCAAGAAATGCGAAAAGGAAAACTTGTACAAAAAATTAATTTACTTGGTGTTGGAATTGGAGGTTCATGAACTAGGGCTGCAAACGAATCGAACAGGTTACTTACTTTATATGAATGAATTGGTCTCCATCGACTAAGCTTGAGTCAACTTGCGACTCGAGCTTGAGTCTGCAGTTTGTAAGCATGAGTGCTCGATTTCTAGCCTTTCCGATTTTTTTTTTCTAGCCGAGTCCAAATATTGTTAACTCGTCTCAAGCAGAAATAAATAAATAAATAAATAAATAAAAATTCGAGCCTAGCTAGCTCAATAAAATTGTCTCGACTCAGCTCGTTTGCAGCCTTGTCGATGACAAATTTGCATGTCATAAGTAACATTGTGTGTAGGGGGAGCGTGTGGTTACGGGAACCTGTTCAACAACGGGTACGGGACTGACACGGCGGCTCTTAGCTCGGTTCTTTTCAACAACGGCTTCGCATGTGGACAATGCTTCCAGATAAAGTGTGTCGACTCTGAGTGGTGCTTCAATGGGTCGCCCATAACAACTGTGACGGCCACAAACCTGTGCCCGCCCAATTGGTCTCAGGACTCTAACAACGGCGGCTGGTGCAACCCACCACGTACCCACTTCGACATGGCCAAGCCCGCCTTCATGAAGATCGCGCAATGGAAAGCCGGCATCGTGCCCGTCATGTACCGTAGGTAAACTTATTGAACCAAAACTTGACTAAAACTAGAAGTTTTAGATTAAAAACAATAAAATTACCTCACAAAATCCAGCTCAAAATGTTAAAACAAATTCGTTTCATTTGTCCCTCTCTTCCTGTCGTGCGATTTGACATCCCTCTCACCGAGTTTTCCGCACCCATATGTCAACTTCGGAATGGTCCATGTAAATTTGGATTTTTATGCATGTCAATTAGACATGGCCAAAACCGTGACCCGGCCCGGCCCGCCGGGTCGCCGGGCTAAAAAACTCTGACCCTGAACCGGCACGGACCTATACTCGTGCCGGGTCCGTGTCCGGGCCGTGCCGGGTCCGGGCCGGGTCCGTGTTTTTTTAAAAAAAAGGTATAAAAAAATAAAAAAAAATTGAAAAGAAGGGTCATTGACCCTGCCCGGCCCTGACCCTCCGGGCCGGGTCATGAAATGTATGACCCTTACACGGCCCGTCTGAAATCCGGGCCGGTTCCAAACCCGTGGTCAACGGGTTTGACCGAGCCGGGTCAGTGCTGGGCGGGCGACCCTTTGGCCATGTCCAATGTCAATTACGATTTTTTAAAATATAAAATACTTTATTATTTAAATTATAAATATGTTTTAAAACTTAGTAACTTTTTTATTTGGATATATATAAAATTAATTATCTTTTAACAAATCGATTTTTCAACTATTTTGGATTTGTTGTACATATTATATATGTATATACCATGATAAATAAAAATTAAATTATTTAGAATATCTGATTGGAAAATAATAAAAATATTAATTATTAATTAAATTTATTTATCAAGTCTATTATATGATATGAATTAGAAAATTTATTATAAAATAAGACAAACCAACAAATCTGTATCTTACAGGTAACGAATTTTATTTTAAATAAGAATCTTAAAAAAAAGTATTTAAATTTTGAAATAAAAGCTGATATTATTTTAACTTTTCAAGTATAAATTTTCTACTAGTAAGTTTTTATTAGAAAGTGTGAATTTTTTTTACTCATCCCGAAGTAGATGAAACACTTCACTTCGATCATGACACTGAACAATACCTACATGAGATCTCAATCTTGTCACTAACAAAACCACAAGGTCAATAATAAAATCAACAAATCATTAATTCCCTATGTATATACTAAACTTATTGCAAAATATGAATTTTTGTTTACTTAACCTCTAGTAGATGATATGAAACACCATACTCTATGACACTCATGAACAATACCAACATGAGCTCAATAATGTTGTTACAAAAAAAAAAAAAACTCAAATGGGTCAGGAAAATCAACAACTTAATAACACTAATAACTCCAGAATACATATATACATACATACCTCCGATGATCTGAATGTATTAATTTATGTACGAATACACAGAGTGCCATGCGTGCGCATGGGTGGGCTTCGATTCAGCTTCCAGGGGAACGGTTACTGGCTGCTCGTGTACGTGATGAATGTGGGTGGCGGAGGTGACGTGGCCAGCATGTGGGTTAAGGGTACGAAAACCGGGTGGATAAGCATGAGCCACAATTGGGGTGCTTCTTACCAGGCCTTCGCCAACCTCGGAGGACAGGCGCTTTCATTCAAGATAACATCGTACACTTCGCACAAGACGATTGTTGCGTACAATGTAGCGCCAGCTACTTGGCAAGCCGGCATGACGTACTCTGCTAATGTTAACTTCCACTGATTGTCGATCGAGCTCTGAGATAATTTGTAACGGTCTTATAATTTTTTTTATTTTTATTTTGTTTACTATTTTTTAGCTCTTTCAACATCTTCTTTAGGTCACTGATTTTGTTTGTTAATGGAAGGGGTATTTACTCAAGCTTATGTCTATTTACTATATATATATATATATATATCATGAAAAATGAAAGATTCATGTGTACAATTGAGAAGAATTGGGGAAACTACTTCACATGGTGTGGTGAAATTTAAATATATGACATGGTTAGAGAACTTGGATGTAATAATGAATATTAGCATATTGAGGATATTATGTTTGTTGAATTATGCAAGCATATGTAACTTACTGCATGTAAATTCATCTCATCTGGATTAAGTTAACTAGTAGACTCTGGTCCAAGGATATCGTAGGTGAACAAGCCGAGACATTGTCTTGTGGGCAAGGGTGCAATTGCAAACTCGAGCTCAAGTTTTAATGGGTCGAGCTATAAGAAATTACATAAAAATTTCATATTTCAGAACTTTGACAAACCGAGCTCAGCTCATTTATCAAACAAGCAGCGGTCACGAGAGGCTCGTTTCGTGTAACAACAGCGAGAAAAGTGATTACAATGGTTCATACTTAGTATTACCCTAGAAGACTCCATTCTTTAATGTAAAACAAAACAAAATAATACTAAAAAACGAAATATAAATTATCATATGAAACAGCCTAATTGTTAGACAAGTCACCTCATCATAGTACTTGTACAAAAATGCATATTTATACTCTTGATTTTCCAAAATATGATATTTTCTAATGTAAGTATGCATATTTATGAAAATCTCCAGTTTAGTGGTTAGTCCGATTTAAATAAGAATTACTGAAAAGAAAAAGGAGAGGAAGAACAGAAAAAGTCTGAAAAAAATAAAAATAAAGAGAGATATATGGACATCTGGTCCCCATTGTAGTGAGCAATTTTATTGTAATTTATATGCATGCTAGCGGGAAAGTAAGAGAAGTGGGAGACATATAATCAAACACACCCCCAAACAATATATAAATGAATAAATAATTAAAAGTTTTATTAAATTGGAGGGGCATTAATTAATCCAAGCACGCCATGATCCCTCTTTTCACTTAACCCTTTTGACTTGTATATCATCATCATCATCATCATAACTTCATGCTCCAAGTATCATTACCCTCAACCTCCTTATGTCCTGCGCTGCATTTAAAAAAGCCAACAATTTTCAAAAGAAACAGTACCATGCTTTTCTTTAAAAATGTACAAGGATAAAAGGTTTAACTTTTTACATAACTTTGCTCTTTGCCTATACAATAAGCTCTAATTTGACTACCTAACTCCTAACCTATTTTTATACTATGATTGATCAAGATAGTAGTAAGTAATAGACGTACTTACTACGGAGGTATTGGTATGATTCTTTCATAGTAAAATGTCTTTGTAGGTTGTAGAACAAACCAACATGGCCGCATGTATTTATAACAAGAATCGAGTTGTCATCAACTGATTAAGACTCAAGTCGAAAACCGATATTCATCTTGGCCCATTCTAGCGACTCCTCTCATCCCAGGTTATCTATACAACACAAAAGAAAGGAAAAGTAGTAATTAGTAAAGTTAGAACCACTAATTAGAAGAAGAATATACACTATATGTATTAGAATTACTTACTTAGTTACCATTTGATTCACCATAAGAAAAGCAACAAAAACACCCCAAATCCATCTCTCACATGCACAAAACTTGAGCACATTCCTCATCTGTCCCCACTCAGAAACAAATGATCAAAATTCATAACCATTACTAACATAGACTCACAAGAAACTTGATCACTCATTTAGCTACTTTAACTACACATCAAACAAACAAAGCTCCTGTTTTTTGCAGCCTTCAACCACAAGAAACCTAGCCCACCCTTCCTACAACAATCATCAAACAAAATTTTCCTCCTCTGATCACAATCACCATTAAAATGGGTATCACCCACCTCTTTTCCTCCCTCATCACGTTTTTCCTCTTATCCGCAACTCTACACGCCTCAAAGCCCAAAACTCAAGAAATCAAATCGGCCCAAACCCTCAACGACATCATAGCAAACTACACGCTCAGATCGTACGCGGCCAACTCCACCAAGACAGGGGAGCTGCAGACCATCCATCTCCCTGAAAACCTCTCGGGCATAGAAGTCGACATCATAAGGCTAAGGTGTGGAAGTTTACAAAGGTACGGCGCCAAAATCAAGGAATTCAACTTGGGCAGTGGCGTGATGGCCCGTCCCTGCACCGAACGGGTCATCCTCATCCGGCAAAGCCTCGGGCCCAAATGGACCTCTGTTTATTACAACAACAATAGCAGCTACCAGCTAATTTCCCCTGTCTTAGCCCTCTCAGCTTACAGCCTCGTCAAAGGCGAGAACTTTAGCACAATTCCGCCCGAGGTTGAAATCCGGGCCAGAAAGAACCTGATCACGATCGACTTCAGCGGGTTGCCCTTAAAATGGACCAAACCGGGTCTCGACCCGGTTTGCGCCAGCTTTGGTGACGACGGGGAGGTTGTGCTGTCGAACCAAACGAGGCCCAACGTCTGCTGCGCGGCGGCGGGTCCGGGCCGGTTCGGGCTGGTGGTGGTGGCCGGGCCGGACCTGATAATGCCGCTGAGGGGGAAGGTGGGGAAGTGGAAGATCGCGGTGGTGAGCTCGATCGGGGGGGCGCTGGGGGCGGCGCTGCTGTCGCTGCTGCTGGTGGCGATGTTCGCGAACGCGAAGAAGAAAGCGAGGATGGACGAGATGGAGAGGCGGGCGTATGAAGAGGAGGCGCTGCAGGTGTCGATGGTAGGGCACGTGAGGGCGGTGACGGCCAACGGGACGAGGACGGCGCCGACGATCGAGCAGCACGAGTGCAGGAATTCGNTCTCGTTTCTCTAATGTGGAGTTGATTTTTTATTTTTTATTTTTATTTGTACTTTTACAGGCATTTTGCAATTTTAGCAAGTAATTTGTGTGTGTGTGTAGTGCTGGGATAAATCATATTCAATCACTTTTATTAATTACATTTTTAACTTAAAATTTTATTCAAATTTAACTCAACTCAACTTTTATCATTATTATCAATATAATTAAATAATTACAATTAATGATATAGACGTGGTCAAACCCTTTTGGGCCTATTCCGAGCCGGGTTTGGAGGAAACTAAACGATCCCGGAAATATGCACGAAGCGGTTCATTGAACCGGCAGTTTCAAACCTGTTCAGTAAACTACCGATTCGGAGCCGGTTTAACCGGTTCCGGCCCAAGCCGGTTTTAATTTAAAAAAAATTGGAGAGAAAAGGAGAGTGAGTTTAAAGAAATTAGACTTGGGCTTAGTTGACATATTATAAATTAAAATATCAATTAAATTAAATAACTTTTTTGGATTAAAAATAGTATTTTAACTTGTAATATATCAATTAAGTTGCCTACTATAGATAAATAAATTTATGACCAATCAAATGGCGCCATGTGAAAATTAATATATTAAAAATCAATTCATATTTTATATTAATATTTTAGGAATTTGATAAATTTAATTCTAAAAATTAAATAATTAATAAATAAATATTTTAATTCTTGGTCAATCAAATAATGTCAAGTGTCAAATCTTGTTTCTTTTGTAAATAAATCACATAACTTCTAAAAGATCTTGGGAGATTTAAGTAAATACAGAAGATTTTATATGAATCATCATGGATCAATCAAATCGCGTCCTAAGATTCTTAAATTTGGTAGAGTTCTCTCTCCTACACCTATAAATATGGACTTTCCCTGAAGTCGAAATAACAATTCATATTCAAGTTTAAGAGCTCTAAATAATTCTCTCGACGAGATTCAAATCATCAAGTATTCTTGATAATTCATAGCGTTCTTGAAGATTCAAGCGCGTTTAACCTCAGGACTGACGTTTAATCCAAAAACAAACTGTTAAGCCTTCAAATTACGTTAGTAAACTAAAAATCGAAAACAAACTGTTAAGTCTTCGACTTTGCGGCGAAGACCAAGGGCTCGTGTTCTTCATGTTCTTGGGATGTTACGACGTTTGATCTGAAACCAAGGTATTGGCCCTCCGATTAGCATTTATTCAAGCCAACTCAAGTCAATGAGAAGATCAAGTCGAAGATTTCGCTCCAAGCCTCAAAATCGTTTGTGAGAAGAATCAAAGGAGAAAATAGAGATTGTAATTCACAAAATCCATTTGATTTGAGAAATTAATTTGTAAAATATTTTTCGTGTATATTAATTCAATACGAAATAATTGTTGTTTCACCTACGTATCCCTTACCTCGGGAATCAAAGTTCTCGTAGTTCTCTTACTTTACTTACCTCGATGAAAGTTCTCGTAGTTCTCTTACTTTACTTACCTCGATGAAAGTAGATAACAAATCTGAACCGACTATCTAGTAATCGTAGTCGTAGGTCTCGTAGTCCTCTTCATTTCTGGCGGTTAGTGAAATCGAATGTCTCTTCTTCTTCATCGTCTTCGGCAGTTAGCATGGTCGTTTGTACCTCATTTTGGTCTTCTTTTAGTCACTCAGCAACATTTGAATCTCCAGGTTTTGTGGCGTCAAACTCGACCGTCATGCGTCCAGAATATGTCCTCCCACACTGAATGTTTATTCAACCGCACGACGGTAACCGAACCGATACCACCCCTCAACAGATTTGGGGATTGTGATTGGACGCAGCTTTTTTTTCACTATTCCGCCATGCACAGATTTCTTTCACAGGTGTGAAGGTGAGGCGATATGAAGGTGAGGCGAAGGTGATGAACGAAGCCGTGAAGGTGTGAACGGCAGATTGATGAACGAAGTTGTGAAGTCGTGAAGGTGAGGCGATCTGAGATTCTGAATTTCTGAAATGAAGTAGTGAACTGTGAACTGATAGATTGATGAACGAAGGAGGCTTGAAGTCTTGAACGGATCTTGTCCAGCCCTAATTTCACTCTTTTAATATTATCCATCTTTTTTTTTAGATTAATAACTAAGATTTAAGACAAAATTATTTTATTTAACTAATATAATATACCTAATCAAAAGCAGTATTTTTATATATATATATAATGTTATCGGTTCGGTTCGGTTTTAGCATTTCGGTAACTGATTTTCGGTTACCGATACACATGGTTCAGTTCGGTTTATTTTCACATTGGTTCGGTTCGGTTTATTTTCACATTGGTTCGGTTCGGTTTTCAGTCAAAAAATACCAGCCCTACAATACGTCGAATTTTTGTGGTTAAATTTGTTTACAAGCAATCGTAAGTATCAAATTTGCCGTGAGGTAGTGATGGAGTTCATCGTATACAGTCCCCTTTGACCTTTGGATCTTATAATTTTTGTAGGAATTTAAATTTTCTTCCCACCAATCACCAAAATTTTCGGCATCCTGCGTAGTATGTGTATGTCCCCATTGTCCATAAGAAGAAGACCCAGAAGCATTAGAAGAAAATGAAGTCGAATTTTCCTCGAGTCCAATTATTGTTTCCCTAAACAATTCATACAATAAAAGTTTTTCTTGCTCCACAAGCTGCTGTGGGTTAGGTTTTACACTGATAGCCGGGACACAAGTGGAAAGTGGAGTTGATACATAATATCATAATATGTGTAAAGTTAGTTGATTAAGCCATTTTCACGTAGGACGGATCTAACAAAGATGTTACTAAAAATTTATCGGGAATGAAAAAATAATACTTTAACATTATATTAACATATCACTTACAAGTTCACCATTTTTGTTAGGATCACTAACAAAAATATATCTGAAATCCAGCATTACGGATATACATTGACTTATAATAAGTTGAACAATATGATAGTAAACACTAGAAAAATACGTTAGTAACACTTTCAAATGTTTAATTTGAAAGGAACAATGCCAAACGTACAATAAGTTTGTAAGGAACAATGAGCTCCCATTCATGCTTAATTTTCATCTGTCTGCTGAAAATACTATAGGATACAAGCATATATATATATATAAGTTTGGCCTGAATGATGATCAGGTTCGGATCATGAAAGCATACAGTACATTCCAACTATTCTCACATAATCATGATGACCTGGTTCAAATTATTCAAGATTTTTGCTATTTTGAAAGCCAGCACAAGGAGACAGACAAATGACAAGCTTCATATAATCATGAAATCACTGATCATTAGAAAAAAAACACATCAGTTTCTTTTATATCAAACAACATTTATATCGTGATTCACAGAGTTATCCTATTAGATCGATTCACTTACTTTTCCAAATGCTCTGGCCATGGCCCCGGTTTCAAGTCTTCATCGGGCTCCTAGATTTGATCCTTACTTTGAATCTTTTTTTCAAAGCAATGTTTATTTTACATTTACTAATAGTTTATATTTAATATATGAACATAAACTTTTTAACCATATAACGAGATATGATAAGAGCATCTTCAATGCTCAATGTTGTATTACCAAATTACATTTCACATCAACACGTTTATTAATATTACAACTTTTCATCCTCCAATGTACAATGTGATCACAAATATTTTGATGATGTGGACATAATTAATGTCTACAATGTAGAGAAGAATGTGGTTCATCCACATTCTCCTCCACACTCTAGTTAGCCAATGAAGAGAAGAGAGATAATTACTATTACCATTTTTAAGTTATTTAATTATTTGATTAATTTTATTAATTCATATTAAAATTTTAATATTTGGTAAGTGGATAATATTGTAATTTGACTACATTGTGCATTGAAGATGATTTTTTTAATTTAATAGTTGTGAACTCAACATTTGTCCTACATGATTCACAATCTACTTAATTTTCTGACATTTGTCAAAATTTATCCTACTACAATTTTAGAGCATTGGAGATGCTCAATATAACTTGTTATAAGCTATAAATAAACCAAACCTAAACTTAAAAAAAATAGTAAATTTATAATAAAAGTGTATCTTTATATGAAAACGCAATATTTTTAAAAGATTAATATTTGTGCAAAATGTTTCAAAAATTGTAGTAACAGGGTAAATACTAGTTCAACTCCAAATCATATGTTTTAATATGTTTAGAAATTTTTTATTTTAAATTGTAAATGTATTAACCGGATAATTGTATATTTAAAAAGTTTTTATTTTTAATTGTACATACACTAACTCTGTGATTTATTTTTATCACTAATTAAAATAAAAAGCTGTACAAAATATGTAAAAGGGAATATTTTTTCTCTTTAGGGTCGTTTACATTCGGAATAAGATTTATTTAGTTTCAACGGTTTAGTTTGAGCTCTTTAGGGCTAATCCATAGGTACGGTACGGGGTATTTATGTAAATTTATACCTTGTAGGGTTATGATATAAATACATTGTGTATTGATGTATTTGGGATGATTTTGTGAATAATAAATAAGATCACTGCTCCGCCGTGGACGTAGGCATATTGCCGAACCACGTAAATCTTGTGTCATTTACTTTCTCGTCTTTAATTCGTATTGTACTCGTCTCACAACATTTTCGAATCATGACCAATTTGTACAGTGGGTCTTGTTATGTAATATGCCTGGTAACATCTCCTTTAGCCCTCTGTGATTTATCATTTATGGAGATTACATGTTTCAGCATTAATATGACACTTTGGCAGCCTTCTTACGTAGTGAATAATTGTGGCCCATATATTTGATTTATTCTGGGAAAACAACTGCACGCTACTCTTTAAACCGCCTTTCTAATTAAATTGTAGCTTGCTCAAAGTTTGTTGTCAAATCTGAATTAAATCTTGGTTTCAATGAGTGTGTCGCACGAGTATACAAATTTGGTAATAAGGAGACAGACAATTTATTATACCATTTTAACAAAAAATATATATTTATTGTGGATCATACTTTTATTTGTGTTATTATCTAAAGTATTATATATATTTTAAAAATATTTATATTTGTTGAAAAAGTAGACTTGTCAAAACATTAGTTTGTCTAATAATAATCTTAATGACATACGAATAATTTCATTTTAGTAGATATTGAGTTAGATGGTCTAATAATTAGACACTCCTATTATTTGAACCAATAAAAATACTTTATAGTAAATATTTTATATTGAAAGTGGTAGATGTTTAATTTAAAAGTGCAAAGCTTATGTTTAGTTTAAACTTTAAATAGTTTGAGTTACTTTATTTATAAAGAAATTCTTTTGAATGAAATTTTTAATCGACCTACTCTTTTGACTTCTTATTATCATGTACTTTAATTTTCAAAATTGTAGGCTAAAATATTGTCCACTTTTTTGGAAATATTTATCTGTCATATTTTCTTTGGAAATATTCCAAAATATTTGAACAATATTTATGTGTCATAGTGTCCACTTTTTAATTCGGAATATTTATGTGTCATATTGTCCACAATATTCCAAAATATTGTTAACTTTTTTTGAACAATTTATGTGTTATATTTTCTTGGAAATATTTATGTTTCAATAAATATGTTTAAAGATGCAAATTTGTTTAAAAATGGACGACAACAATTTATGCTATTACGTTTAGTCATTTACATAGTGAAATATCAAAATTTGGAATCTGTCATTTTACATCAATATTCCAAATCTTATATTTGACATGTTTTAATTTTACATATGAAATCATCATGATGATTAAAGTTCGTGTTTCTCATTAAAAAAAATAATGGTAAAAAATAAATTAATTAAGAGTTACATAATGATAAATGCTATTTGGTAAATGCCATAGTAAAAATTATGAATAATGGTAGAAAATAAATTATATAAGAGTTAAGTAATGATAAATGGTAATTTTCACAATGAAACTTGTGATATAAGGTGATAAGAATGAAAAATATTTATGGTACAAAAAGAAAAAGTTTATATTTACTGCTGCATAAGTGGTACAACCAAACTATAAAATAATAATAAAATATTTAATGGATTTATTTTCAGTGTTCTAGAAGTCGTTAGCTGCTCGACCAGCGTGTGCTTAGGCGGGGCCTAGGTGGAGCCTAGAAATTAAGAAAAAATACTTTATTTTTTTTATTTATTTTCACTATTTACATCTTGATTTATAATAAATCTACACACCTAAGTCTAAATAATAATATTAATATATTATAAAAAAAATACAATAACAAAATAAAGTAATTAATATTTTTTAAAAAAACAACTGAAAAATTGTCGCCGAGCCCGCCAAACACGCCTAGGCGCCTGACCAAAATTTTCAGCCAATTCATGCAAATTAGAGGCGGCCAGACGGTGCCTAAGTCGATTTTTAGTACAATTCGTATTATACAATTTGTACAATAAAAAATATTTATTGCTCTTATTATACAAATTAAAATTTTTTTATTGGTTAACTATATATTTATAAAAATTTATATTTTTTATTTGTTTGTAGCATAGATGTTACTCACGATTGATATACAACATTTGACAAAGTTTAATACGTATCATTCAAGAATAACATATAATAGTTTAGACACTTTTAAGCGTGTTAATTAAGTTGTATTAAAATACTTTACAATAGACATATTTCATGTGACTTTACCCAATCAATATAGACAAGGGTTAAGAATTTATTTAAAAGAGTATGTAACAAAATTTATTTAAAATTATTTTTATTAGGAACACTTTTTAATCCGCATTATACTATCTTCTCTTATGGAACACTTTTTAAAAAGTTTTTAGTAAATGTTAAAAAAAATATATTATCATTTTTTTCTAATAATATACTAGTTTGTTTTTAATAAATTATAAAAAATAAATATAACTAATATAACATTTTTTCTCATATATTACAAATAAACACTACAAAAAAATTGTTATATTCCAACGAAAAATTCTATGGTAATATAGTCCAATGGAAATTTCAACGGATATTCCAATGGTAAAACTTTCGTTGGAATGGATTTTTCATTGGAATTTTAGATGCAATTTGATGATTGCAACGACTATATTTCCAACGGCTTTTCACCGTAGGAATTTCTGTTGGAATATGAAATTTCCGTTGAAATTTTTATTTCCACCACTGTTGGAAAATCTACCGTTGGAATCGTCAAAATCCAACAGAAATTCCAATAGAAAACTCATTCCAACCATTCCAACGGCATATTGTTGTTGGAATTTCCGTTGGAAATAATAGCATTGAAATATTCATTGGAATTGCCGTTGGAATTCTATTGGAATATATTTCGGCTGGAATTTCATCATTTTCTTATAGTGAAATATCATAAATGAAAATATAATATTTCATAATTAATAAAAGTATACTTTTCG